TCAGATATTCCTCTTTTTAAAATGTCTATCTTCATGTCTGTTCCCATTTACAAAATTATTAATATGTGCACAATCCTTGTGGGTTCTATATGCTGAGCTCTTTTTAGTTATGTATATTAAAGGCATCTGGTTTAAGTGATTTTTCTTGCTCTGTTTTTTAAGGAATAGAAGTTGGTTTTAATTCTATTCATCAGTAATGCTGCATGATATACCTCTTGTTTATTAAGAAGCTGTGCTTAGATGTTTACCTACTTTTTGTTTGTTTTATTTTCTGAAACACTCTCCCTATAACCCAAACTGGCCTCAGATGGGCCTGCAGTCTCTCAGCATGTCCTGGAGATTTCAGACTCCAGACTCCAAGGGATCCCCCATCTTAACCTATAGGCTTGCATCACCATGCCCAACCTCTCCCTACCCCATCCCCACATTGGGGAATCTGGTCCTGGCCCCCCGTGGGGCAGGTATGTGTTATACTCCTGTGTGACAACCTCTCCACAGCCCAGCCGCCCCGTGCCCCATGTTTCACATGATTTGCTTTTTTTTTTTTTGGTTCCTGTCCTGGAACTAGCTCTTGTAGACCAGGCTGGCCTCGGACTCACAGAGATCCGCCTGCCTCTGCCTCCCGAGTGCTGGGATTAAAGGCGTGCGCCACCACCGCCCGGCTCATGATTTGCTTTTAAACTCCATAAAAGTCATTACTTGATGTGCTTAATACTTTTAAACAATTGGACATACCAAGGAGTGGGAAAGATTAGGAAAACATTATCTAAGGTCATTTGTACACAAGGCCTGTGTCTTCTAAAAAAAAAAAAAAAATCATTCCTAATTTTGGTGCACTGTCCGCCCTAGACTCTCGTAGATGGCAGACGATAATGAACACACCAAAGTTCTGGTGCTCCCAGCAGCACACTGGTTCCTTCTGTGACAAAGTTGGCATCAGTGGGGGAACAGAACATATAACTAAAAGAGACTCTGAAATTGTGAGGTACAAAGATGAATAACAAAATGGTGGTTTTCTCATTTTAATTTTGTAATTTTAACGTTTTATCTCATCTTAGGAAGAGGACCACCTAGCGCGGGTGGAAGAGGCAATCACCCGCATGCTCGTGTGTGCCCTGAAGACTGCAGAGGATCCGCACCACCCTAGAGCCTGGCTGAACCCCACTGAGGTAGGATGGCCAGGTTTCCATCCTGGCTCTTGGATTTTGATGGTGAAATCAGTCAGGACAGAGTGTTGGTTTCCACTTCAGCTCAATGCGGTCTGAAGGGCTATTTTTCTTCTTAGGTTGAAGAAACATCTCATGAAGTGAATTGCTGCTACTTAAATGATGCTGTTTGTGCTTTTTTTGCTCACTGTGGAAAAGCTAAAGAAGTAGAAATGCAGGCACTGAGAGCAAACGGGGAGAACTGGAGGAAGGAAGAGCCAACGGGGCAGGATCACATGGAAGTGGAACAGGCACACAGCCAGAGCTTTACAGCAGCGCGGACTGAGAAACAGGAGGTCACGTGTCCGTTTGGCCCAGATCTGGTCCCTGTGACACCCGCATCACCTTCGGAGAAAGGAGGCGCATTGGAAAATGACAGCAAAGAATGTATTGACAGAGATGGAGAACACGCTGCAGAACTGTCCTGTGCTAGGAGAGGGGCAAGCGCAGTGGTGGGGCAGGTCGCCTCAAGGTGCCCTGTGGCACCATCTCGGACATCCGTGTCCACAGATGACTTGCTGGACTGCCTAGTGAATCCACAAGTGACTAGGTTAGTGGCCCAGCTTTTGATACAAGGAAAAAGTTTGTGATTCTAATAGATTATTTGATTATTTTTTAATAAAATTTTAAAATTTAATTTTAGAACTAGTATGATACGCTTATTTGTTTGCTTTTCACGTAGTGTTTTTTCCTTATTCCTTGAGGCGTCATATGTGTATACAGTATATTTGGACTGTTTCCTCATTGCCCACCTCCAGCCTCTTCCCAGTCCCCTTCATCCCCCTCCAAACTTTATATTGTTGTATTCATTCTCTTTTCTTGTTTTTCAACACCTTGAGTCCAATTACTGCCACCTATATGCACATGGTGTAGGGCCATCCACTGGGCCCTGACTAGCCTTCCAGGGGTGAAAAGGGATGCTTAAAAGAAACCCCACACTAGCTCAGAATTGAGAATAATAGATGGTTATTTATTTAGGGGTAGATTCACAAATCAGTATCCTCTGCTGGAACGGAGAACAGCAACCGAATCCTGCAGCCAGAAAGAGGTCAGACGCGTGCTTTTCTTTGGCATATATAGTATAAGAAGCCACACCCCAGTGGACGGGTAACTTACAGGCTACTGGCTGTAGGAATTCCTACAGCACAGGGGCTATACACCTAAAGAAAATTGACTTTCCTTCGCATAGGAACCAACAGCTGTCAATAGCTCCTTGGCTAGGGGTGTGGGTTCATGTGCCTGTCTAAGAATAGTAAGTGGCGGCTGGGTGGTGTTGGCGCACGCCTTTAATCCCAGCACTCGGGAGGCAGAGGCAGGCAAATTTCTGAGTTTGACACTAGCCTTATCTACCAGAGTTAGTTTGAGGACAGGTACCAAAGCTACAGAGAGACACCTTGTCTCAAAGAACTAGACATTGTTCTGCCTCATTCCTCCCTGACCCCTGGCTAGTAGAAAGTTTTCCAGCCCTCTTCCTCCCTTTTTCTTTCTTTATGGGGGTGGGGATGTTTTGTTTTGAGACAGGGTCGTTCTGTGTAGCTCTAGCTCTATGTAGGTCAGGCTGGCTTTGAACTCACAGAAGTCCCCCTGCCTCTTCCAGCTCCTTCCCTGTTTCTCCAGGCTTTGTGTTAATACCATTTCCTGTACCAAGAAACCTCTCTGATGAGGACTCAGGGCTGATCTCGATAGGACTTGGAAGGCAATTTGATGCTCTGTTCATTCAACAAAATAATAGTGGTAGATTCACTTCCAGGGCCTCTGAGCTCCCCAGCCAGGCTTCCTGACCAAGTTGACAGCTTGTATTTCAAACACAATTTTGCTGTATTCTTCAGGCTGGCCTTGAATTCAAGAACCTCTGGCCCTCCCTCCCCGGGTGCTGGGATTACAGGTTTGCACTAACACGGTTGGTTTTAAATAGTATGAGCTTAAAATAACAGATGGGACAGCAGGTGGTGAGGTTGTGCATGGTTGTAAATGGGCCTTTCCTAATAAAATTTCGCTGTGGTCACCTTTTTCCAGCATGGTGCTCTGTAGTCAGATGGGCTCACATTTGGAGACCTCTCATCAGTCCTGTGGCTTTTCCTCCTCCATCTGGGATCTTCTCACAGATTTACCAAAAGCTAGAGTTCCCCCAGATGTTACAGGGTGAGACTATAAATTATTGGCATTTTTGTCTCCAAGATATCGCTGTGTACATTCCGATGGGAGGCTTTAAACGACTAGACGGTAGTGTCTAGATGAGAAAGGAGGTTGAAAGGGGGATCTGTCTCATGTCTACACAGGTGTACTGATCCATGTGCAAATACACTCACGTGGACGTCAACCAGCCTACGTGGCTGTTTGTTTTCTCTCTTAGCCCTCAGAGGTCCCCTCTTCCCCCAGCACAACATAACTTCATGAGGATAGAGTTGTATGCAGTTACTGCTTCATTCACGGAATTTGGGCCAGTGCTCAGCATGGAAGGGGCACAGCACACTCCTAGCTCTTTGAGTAGGCAGACAAGAGAGTGGGGTAGGCAATGCTCCACCAGTGGCTTTGGCACAGAGCTTGCCGTGGCCAGAGCTGTTTCTGTTCTTAGATTTGATCCATCACAGAAACAGATCTCTTTCTTCAGGTACTTTTTGGTTTGTTCTGCATGGCTCAGTTGTGAGTCACTGAAGCAGTCTGGAGGGCTGAGGTCTGTATGGAACGTGGAGAAAAGAAGAGATAACCCGAGAATCACGCCAGGGTCCAGTATCCTGTGGGCATCCTGTGCAGGCAGACCTGGTGTGTCCTGGTGCTCTCGGCAGCTGCATTGTTATAAACACCAATGGAGTCAGGGCTGGGTTACAGCTTTCTTTTGATTGTAAAAGATATGAACACATTTTAGTTTGCAGCACGGGCATTATTTGATGAGACTCCTCAGCAAATGTTGTTTCTAGGTAAGTTTCTCACGAGGCAGTCTAGGTTCTCTGATGCAGAATGGACTCAGTGGAGGCCGGGCAAAGAGAAGCTTGGATGCTCTACAGTAGGGAAGTCTTTCATTCTCTGGAAGGAATGGTGTAATACAAAGTCCTAAGAAGAATTCAGACAGTATCGGTGGAAGCAGGAGATGGGAGGGGGTTCCCTGATGTTCTGGAGAGACTGTAACACCCTGGCTGATTGCCAAGAGGCAGCAGAGGGTGAGCACAGAGAAAACCAGCATGACCTGGCCCCCACCCCATCCTGCTCTAGATGACCACAGCTGAGTAAATAGTAAATAGCACCTGGTAAAGAAGTCCTTGGACTCTCTCTGCAGAGGCCATCGGAGCTCATGCACTCCCGTAGTGTCCAGCTGAGTTGTATCTGAGTCAGCAGAGCTAACAAACCCACCTTGTTTTCAGTAGGTATGGTGGCCAGGGCCATTGTGCTTTCAAGGAAGGCATCATGAAAAGGTGGCCCTAGTTGTCAGGGCTGTTGAAATCCTCTAGGTGCTCACTGAAAGCAGATTTTGTACTGCATGGAGGGCACCACACACTGAGCCTTCAGCACGTTCCTCAGGTGTCCAAGGAGCATAGACTGTGTGGTCCTACAAAAATCTATCCAGACCTGTGTAGGGCTCCAGGCTGGCTGCTCATTGGATACAGGCTTTCTGAACCTTAACCTGCATGGTGCCCCTCCCGTAGTTCCCAGCTGAGCATTAGTACCTTAAGGACCCTCGGTGCTGTCCTGCTAATTGTGGTCACTGTAAGTCATTGACCTACACCCATCCTCCCCATGTTTGCCCAGTAGGAGAAAAATGATTCCATCAAGAGACATTTTTCAAGTAATTTTACTAGAAGTGAGGAAAGGCTGAAGGTGACTGTAACATTTGTTGGTTGGGTCTTTATTCCACAGTGTAACATCTGGCTATTCAGCCTTACCCTGAGTTAACTAAACCACTGGAGGACAAAAGCAGATGAAATCAACCTCTCATTTTTATTCCATTTCCTAGAGGGCTGTTGGTACTGAGTTCAGATGCAGGTGCAGAGGAAGCCAGCCCCTCCTAAGCCACAGTCTGTGCCAGCCCACTTAGAAACAGCAGCAGAGGTTCCAAGGCCTCTGTGTTGTTGTGGTAGCAATGGTGACCCTTGCTCCACTTGAAGTACTCTGAACATATTTGCTTAAGCCCTGAAAAACTCTTCCCAAAGCACTATTCATGGGAACAAGGTCATGTTTGTGACCGCATCTGTCACTCTACCTGGCAAAGCCTAGGCACTCAATAAATGGCACTGAGTCTGAAATTGGCAGGAGAAAATTAGAAGAACAACGTTAGCCAGGTCTGGTAGCTGTGCAGCCCACATGGCACAGGGCTGGTAGTGAAGGAAGAGGGTCTCTGCTCTGCATCTGTTCAGTTGGCAGCATTACTGGCTCAGTGACACTGTGTGTCCCCACGGCACACTGCCTCTCTGACAGGATTCCACTGGTGGTAGCCGGAACTGTGTGGCTTGTTACTGTCTCATTTGAGACAGCATGGCTTCAGCTGTTACCTGATTTAAATTCTCAATTTGATTGGCTCTCAAGTGGATTCATTTCCACCATGGAGAAGCAGCAGAGGAAACATCCACAGCAAAGAAAGAGCAAGCATAAAGAGGAAGACAGTTAAAATTTGTCTTGCAGCAGATGCATGAAGGTGCCCTGAAGTGTCACAACCTAAAGGTGATGAGATACTCTGGGTATGCTTGATTGTCATAAAACACTACAAATATGCATGGATTTTTATCATCATTTGTGACAGTGTCGTACAAGTCAGTAGGATTTTGAGGGTCCCTTGGAGGAGGCACAATCAGTGACGAGTTTCCAGTTGTGTAGTTCCCAGTGAGAACCCGCACGTAATACATATGCTTCTTCCCATTGGCATCTGGTCTGGAATATGTATCATGAGCTGAATAGGAAGCATCGACAGCAAAATAGGTTCCCTTCCCATAGTATGTGGCTGCAAAGAGAAAGACATATCAAAGGAGTTCAATGTAGCATATAAATCAACATGTTAGCCCACTATGTCAACTATTGCAAAAGGAATGATCGGCTAGAATATTTTAAATATTTTCTTTATCATCATCATTGTTGTTATCAGTTTTTCTCCTCAGAGGACATATAGCTGTTTACTGCTAAAACTTACTCTACTCTGGCCACCTCAATGTGAGGAACACAGTGAACGGAGCCCAGGGTGGTTCTAAGTCAGCAGCCCCTTTGGGGAAACTGACTGCATCCTTCCTCACCGTTCTTCCCAGCATAGCTGCGGTTAAATCCATGGCTGTTGAGGTGTAGAATAGAGCTAGCCTCCGTCCCATGGAAGAGTTGTTTCTCATTTCTTTCATGGCCATTCTTTTCATCCATAATTTTTTTGTTTGCCTGGTACCTCTTCCAGAGAGCTGGATTCTGGATCCTTTCGATCTATAAATTAATAAAGTATTGAGTTATTCTGGAGATGCCAAGAGCCTTTGCCAAGTGATAGCAAATTACTGTCTTTGTCTTTCTTTTTTGTTTTCTGTTTTTTCTCCTTCCTTCCTTTCTTTCTTCCTTCCTTCATCCTTCCTTCCTTCCTTCCTTCCTCCCTTCCTTCTTCTTTTTTAATGGTTTCTCAAGACCGCATTTCTCTGTAGCTTTGGGGCCTGGAACCAGCTCTTGTATACCATGCTGTCCTTGAACTCACAGAGATCCACCTGCCTTTGCTTCCCAAGTGCTGGGATTAAAGACCTTTTCACCTTTACCAAGTGTCGGGATTAAAGGTGTGCACCACCATTCTTCGGTGTGGCTTTCATAAGTATAAATTCTACTTGCACAAATTCAGTGCAAAGTGACAGCATCCTATGTTCAGAAATATTTTTAGAACTGATAAGACAGCTCAGGAAGAACATGGCGACCTGAGTTCAATCCCTAAAGTTGGAAGGAGAACACTGACTCCACAAAGTTACAGTCTGACTTCTACATGTGTGAACAGCCCCTTCCCCCTACCCCTCCTACACACACACACACACACACACACACACACACACACACACACACACACACACAGAGGCCTGTCTTACTGGCCTGGAGTTAATACACCAAGTTAGGTTGGCCAGATAAGTGCTACAGTTTCAGGCTATTGTAAGCTACCTGATGTGGGTCTGGAAACCAAACTTGGAACTTGGGGTCCTCTGACAGTGCAAAACAAAATCTTTTAATTAATTAATTTATTTATTATGAATTCTGCCTGCATGTGTTCCTGCAGGCCAGAAGAGGGCACCAGATCTCAATAGAGATGGATGTGAGCCACTATGTGGTTGCTGGGACCTGAACTAAGGATGTGTGGAAGAGCAGCCAGTGCTCCAAACCCACGAGCCATCTCTCCATCCCACAATACAAAATCTTGACCCATGGGCCATCTCTGCAGACCCATATATGAGTGGGTTTATTCAGGAACATGGGTTATATCACTTATATAACTATGTAACTTTTCCATTAGAAAACTCAGCACCCAACTTACCTTCTCTATGACGAAGTTTTGGCAGGTCCGGCGGAACTGGTTTGCCACCATGATATACTCAGGATCATTGGTTTGCAGACTGACCACAAGCAATTTCTTCTGCCTCATGTTGCTCCAATTTGAAGGGATTTCAGCTGTAAAATAGACATTTGAGGGCTCCTGTGTTCATTTCCGGTATGCTTTGACAAACCTTCCTCCCTGTTGTATTATAGTCTCACAATTCTATGTATTCAAGACATTTCTTATCTTCCTAAAAGGATGTTGTTAAAAGCATGGAGCATGGACCACTGGTATCAGGATGAGATGGAAAACTTGTTTAAAGAGGCAGGCGATTTAAACAAGGCGATTATAGCGCAGTGGTAGATCTCTTGCCTGACACATATGAGACTTGTTTCCCAGCACCCTCTCCAGAAGAAGACAAAAGCCATCCATGTCCTGAGTTAGGGTTTCCGAGGGATGGAGCCTCTCTGTCTACTCCTGTTTCCGTCTTGCTAAGGTGTGAGAACTGACTACATGTTGTAACTCACCTTCATTTAGTGCACAGCCTCTACTCTGTTGTAATTTAACAAATTCATTACTAACTTGTTCTGAACAATCTTTGTCATTTGCACATGAATGAGTTTGTACCACTAGAGGGTAGTCTACATGTATTTTCTCATTTGCCTCACTCCATCCTTAAGAGGTAGGTGGGTGGGTGGTAGGGTTTATCTGTGGCAGGCTGTAGAACACCACATATGATATGTCATTCCTTAGAATGGGAATTGCTTAGAGTCTGGGGGTTCATTCATACTGGTCCCACAGCAGATGAATATAGTCTGTGGGAAGCCATAGGGGACTCACAAGGCAGGAATGACAGCCTACACAAGACAGCCATTCCCTTCCTGGGGATCAGATCCACCAGAAACCTGTACGCCATTTTCTGCACTGGTATCCAGGAACCTTTGGAACAGGAAATAGAAGAATATGGGAATAGAACTGGGGTCTTCCCTTGGTCATCATCATGGACACAGAGGCCAACTCTAACAAGTCTGTCCTCTCCTTGAGTTTTGTATTCTTGAGAACCCTGGGCCACTTTCCTTCTGAAACTACTCTTTTTCTACCTCTGCCTCAGGCAGCGTTATTTGACCAGAATAACTGATCCAGTATAAATGATCCAGATGGAAAGCGAGGTTAACTGTTGTTACAGTTAGGATGGTTCTTTTTGGGCTGTATTTTCCTGGCTATAATGTACGCTGTGGAAACTTAAGAGACCAAGATCTTTAAATTATTCTACTAAGGTTATCTGAATTTTATCTACTTTAAAATTTAATACAGTAGAGCATGAGTGGATCATGCCTTTAATACAGCACTAGGAAGCAGAAGCAGGCAAATTTCTGAATTAGAGCCTAGCCTGGTCTAACTTCCAGGTCAGCCATGGCTACATAGTGAAACATTTCTGAGAGAGAAAGAAAAAGAGAGAGAGAGAGAGAGAGAGAGAGAGAATGAGTGAGTTCCAGATAAGCAATGGCTGAATAATAAAACACTATCAAAAACAAAACAAGCTCTGTGGCGGTGACTCATGCCTTTAATCCAGCGCTCTGGAGACAGAGGCAGATCTCTGTGAGTCCCAGGCCAGCCTGCTTTACAAGAGCTAGTTCCAGGACAGCTAGGGCTCTTATGCAGAGAAAATCTATTTTGAAAAACAAAAAGCAAACAACAACAACAAAACCCCACTGTGTTTTTACATAATGTTAAACTCAGAGTTGGGGCAATGGCTGACACCCACGAGCATGTAACTTACCTTCATCTTTTAAGATACGCTGAACTGTGACACTCTGTCCTTGAGGGCCTGTAGCCATGTTTGTCCTAAAGTTCACTGTGAAGTCCTGATTATTAATTTTGACAACAGTGCTCTTGTGCTTTGCCTGCCGTGCTTTCTCCAACTGCATGTTAGTTATTTTGTCGAAACAGTGTGTGACATTGTTGTCAATATATCGCCATTCCACGAATGTGAGGAAATAGTCTGCCTGGCTTTCCTTCTCTTTAGCCAATCGGATGCTCTTGATCAGGTTTTCAATCTCATCTCTGGCTTCTATCACATCTCTGCTAATTCCTGCAACTTTAATCACAGGTGTCTTCTGGTCCAGCTCAATGACGATATTCAGCCTCTCCTGCAGCTCATTCAGCTTCTTGTACTCCTTCTCTCCAAAGTCTCTGACACACTCATCGTCACTGCGATAGGGTAGCTGCTCTTGGGTGATCAGATTTTGTATCCAGGAGATCGTGCGTTCCACACTGTCTTCATCTTGGCCACATACCTGGAAAACTGTCTGGTCTATTTTCTTCTCTAAAAACAGGGTCTTCTGTTTGTGGGGAGTGTGCTTTGAAAAGCCAAAAAAGGCTAAAGAGAAAATGAAAGTTAATTTTTGTTTTATTCCCTTCAGCATTAAGGTGAGGAAAATGTATTTGATAAAAGTGAACAACTCACAGGTGATCTTAGACAGTAGAGACGGCTGGGGAGGAGCCGGGGAGCCTTCCCTGTCTTTCATGTTGTCATAAAAAACACTCAGGATATGAGGCTGGAAGATAACAACTTTGACTTTCTTCACAGCCCGCACTGATGTTTTCTGGATAAATTCTTCAATGGCATCCATTATAGCTTTAGCAATGGCATCTGGGTCCTGTTGAGCACTTCCTTTAAAAACACACACACACAAAAAAGACAGGGTTAAGATCCACCTGCAAAAGGCTGCTATATAAACTAGCAATTTCAGATGTCACAGGAAAGAAAAATGCCTGGTCCAACTTTAATCGATGTATATTTTTTTAACATGACATCATCATAGTTTTGACATCCTAGACACAGTGGGGAGGAGTTTCTATTCCATGCTGTCCCGAAGGTCAACACTCCAGGACAAGACCCTGAAGCCTGTTCTGATTTGCGACATTCACATCTGTCCTTTTCAGCTGATCCTGGCTCCCAGGGTCACTCTCCTCCCATTACAGAGTTCAGTTGACTTCCCCACTTGATATACTAGAGTTTTCAAAAGATCGTAAAAGGAGGAAAGAAAAAAAGGTAAAACACCTTGAAACAACATGGTTCTTACAGAGACAATCTGAGCCTCTGATAGATTTTATGCATGTGTTGAGATTCTCCCAGCTACCTCTGGGGACCTGATTCAAACTAAGGTAATTCTAAGGCACACAGAACCGTAAGCTACTTGTTCTAGTCTATAATTCTAGGCATAACAGTTACCCCGAGCCTCCAGGATGTCTTTTCCCCCATACTCTGTACCATTTTGGCTCCCCAGCAGAATTCAAATCACCACTGAGTAGATCCACCCCTGTCTTCACCATGTTTCTCAAGCCCTGGAACCCACTGTAAGGTAAGACTGTGGAATAGCCCAAAGTAAATGGCAGCTGCCGAAGTCACATGACAGGTAGTGTAAAATTCTCCTGGGCAAACTGGTTTGATAGATTGAGAGCCCATCTGGATTATCCCTGTTAATGGTGCCCACCACTGTAGTGATGAGTTGAGCAGGCCTGCTTTTGATCCTGCCCGGCTCCCACAGGGCTAGCTTAGCCCCGGAAATAACAACGCACAAATTGTATTCGTTTAAACACTGCCTGGCCCATTAGCTCTAGCCTCTTACTGGCTAATTCTCACATCTTGGTTAACCCATTTCTATTAATGTGTGTAGCACCACAAGGTGGAGTTTTCCAGGAAAGATTCAGCATGTCTGTCTTGGGTTGGAGAATCATGGCGACTGACCAACCTGCTTTCTTTCTCCCAGCATTTTGTTCTGTTTACTCCACCTACCTAATTTTCTGTTCTATCAAAGGGCCAAGGCAGTCTCTTTATTAACCAATGAAATCAACACAAAACAGAAGGCTCCCCACATCACACCACTGGGGCAGGATATCACAGCAGATGCCTTTGACTAACCTTGAAGACAATTGTGGGGACACAGGTCACACCTCCTGCCTCCGTCCTTCCCATTGGGGCCACAGGTGCACATAAATGCACCCTGTTCATTTTCCTCCTTCTTAAAGATCACACAGGCTTTGCTCATTCCCTAGTGGATGGGGTGCCTTGGAGTGAGGAAACTGTCTACTCCTAGGAAAGGTGTCCCTGTCATCACCCAGACCCAGTGAGGACCAAATCCATGGGAAAGTCGAAACTTTGGGATGGAACCTTGACAGCCTGTGGCTACGGACCTGTGCCAATGGCTGGTAGGCAAATGGATGAGTGGTTCCGTTGTTCACATTCTTCCAAAACACAGGAAACTGATCTCTTCACGTCATTCCCACCAACAACGTGAATAATATTCTTGCATCTCAGTGATCCACCTTCAGTAACTATGTACTCACTGTTCTGTTGAGCTGTGAAACATGAGCAGATTCAGAGTCAGATGCTAACCTGCGCTTGGAGAAAGCAAGATGTCTGATTTCATGAGAAAACGTTTTATGAATTAAAAGTTCATGAAATACTACATGTCGTGAAATTTGGGGATAAATTTCTCTTAACTGTGAGATATCTTTCTACTTTTAACTTTTGTATGGAATTCTTTCATAAAATATATGATCTTAAGATAAATACAGGGGTCTCAAAACAAAACAAAACAAAACAAAACAGATTAATACATTGTCCTCCCAGCCCAAGGCCCTTCCTTGGTTTCCTCACTGCCTCCCACAGTCAATCTTCCACTTCCAATCCAGCTCCAAGAAGCAGCATCGTTCCTTACCCAAGACAGAACATTCGTTCTCCACACTTGGTCCTGCACCTTCCAAAATTGCTTTGGAGACTCCTACATGAGAAAATCAAGATGGTGACCTGACCAGAAAGATGCCTTTGTGTCTCAACACACCCCATCATAGAGCAGTAAGGACAGAAAAGAAAATTTCAAAAATGTTGCCAGTTGTAAAAAAGCCCATTGAATTAGGTTTATAGATCCTAGTTAACAGAAACAAGCCAAAGTCAACAAACCATTTTGTCTGTAGAAACACTTCTTCATAGGATCCACCACACTGATTCCTGCATGAGACAGAATCCATCTCACTAAGTACCTGATTTGAGATTAAATGTGTTTGATGTTGAATTTACAATCACATCTGCCACTTCTTTGGTGATGTCCCCGGTGGCCACTTGGAAGACGATCGGGCCAATATTCATTTCATGCACTCCTAACGTAGGGCTGGAGAGACTCCCATAAAAACCTGTCCAGAGAAAAGAAAAGATGGAATCAGGCACCAAGTCATCAGAAGCAAGAATAGCTGAGGTCGCAGGCTGCTCCATCACTGTACTGGCTGTCCTTTACTGTGGCCCTGGGTCTGGGCTGGGACAGAAGGATGACTTGAATTTAGGAGTTTGGAGCCATCCTGGGCAACATGGCAAAACCCTGCTTCAAAACAAAGCTCCAGAGAACCCAAACAAGATGAACTCAGAAACAGAAAGCCACAAGTGACAGAGAAGTGTTGGCTTGTATTGTCTCTCTCTCTTTTTCTTTTCATAATGAAAGGGTCAAGAAAGAAAAACGTTGTTTATTTGTTCATTTTTGAAAATTCTGCATGGATTATTGTTACAAAAGCAAGATACTGACTTTCTAAGGAAATCGATTTAACAAAGAGCATGTTTTTAGATTGTAAGGCCCCGTTGCTGAAGACACCACACACTCTGGCTTCTTCCTGAAGCCAATCCTGAACCAACCAGGAAACTATCTCCATGCTGTCTGGCTTGCACAAGTCTGGGGTGTGCTTTTCTGGCTTCTGGGAAACAGAAGACATTAATAGGATTACCCAGTGTTTGACCCCATATACTAAACAATGCTGATCTGTCAGACGAGATGTACCCCTTGATGGCAATAGTAGCAAGACTGTTTATGGGGTTAACTGACCACTCTCTTAATTAGATCCAAGATCTGCTCCACAGTGGGGATTCCATGCCTGCTATTGTAAGCTTGTATTGTCTCTTAAGGTGTCTCTTGGAAAACACATGTCACATGATCCACTGGAGGTGGTAGTCTCATCAGTAATTTAAAAATCCCACTCTACAGCTTATATGACCTGGTCCACCTTTCCCTTTTGCCCAAGTCAGGCCAGTTTCTTTTATACTCACATGCATGGAATATCCTTTAATTTTCATTTAATATGTTCCACAGTTTGACTTATCAGAGAAATGATCACCATCATCTTTTCGCTGTCATTGAACAGTTACTTGGTAACAAGAAATCACTGGTCAACTTAAACACTTTACTGTACCTTGGGTGTCACTTGGATTTCCATGACTCCTTTTGTCAAATTCATCTGAAAATGCCTGGAAACACAAACACAGTTTTAACCATTATACTCCCTATGCGATCAGTGAGTTTGCATTCTGGGGGGCTTCTGATTCTGTATGCACACATGTAGTGTATACTATACATGTGTATAGTAAAGCCTTTGTGCCTGACTTTGAGTGACATGTTTCAGCAAAGCCTTGTTGGGTTTGTGTTGGTTGGTAGAGGCTGAGAAATTGGGTTGAGACTGTTTTAACCTTGAAGAAATGCTGTCTCTCTGGAATCTCTGCACTTGGTGCTCCCTGAGAGCTTGTAGCTGCACTGACCTTCGTTTGAAGACAGTTGTGGAAACCTGAGGTTCTTACTTTTGATTATGGCATTCCATAATATGTGGGCTGTCTTCCCTGTCTCAAAAAACTAGCTCTTGTAAACCATGCTGGCCTCGAACTCAAAGAAATCCATCTGCCTATGCCTCCAGGTGTTGGGTTTAAAAGTGTGTGTCACCAATGCCTGACAGTGTTTTGAGACTATTTAAACCTTGAAGAAATGTCTGTCTGGAGACTCTGCACTTGGAGCTCCATGTTAGCTTGCAGCTGTACTGAACTTGGTCTGAAGATACTCCTGGAAACCTGGGGTTCTAACTTTTGATTGTGGCATTCCATTATATGTAGGTGTCTACTCTCAAGGGCAGCAAAAGCAAGATGAATTCCATAGCTGGAACATTTCCTAGCCCCTATTAACCTTATATATGTTTGCATAAAGTAACTAGAGTGAGCTAGTGTGAGCTGGGTGTCAGTCTCTTCTAAGAAGGCTGAACCCCTCTGTTCCTTCAGGAAATGGAGGCTTAGCATCCTGTTGAGTTTTTCTCTCTACTGTGGCACCAATGACCGGCATCAAAAACTACACATACACATGATTAGAAAATAATAATCCCTCAAACAGTAGTATTTAATTTACTTACATATTTTTAAAGTTAAAAAATAGATTTATTGATGGGAGGTGGTGGCACACAGCTTTAAACCCATCAATTGGGAGGCTGAGTCAGGTAGATCTCTATATTTGAGGCCAGCGTATTAGTCCCAGGACAGTCATGGCTATCCAGAGGAACACTTTCTCAAAAAACAAAATGAAAGACAAAATATACAAAGACTTTTTACAAATGTGTCCTGTAAAATACAGATGCAAGCAAAGTTGTAAATCCTATTACTAGAGTGATGTTTATAATAAAAACCTGACAGTTAAAATCCAATGGAGGGATAATTCTACACTTTCACATGCCCATGTGTTAAAACAGTAGCCATTAAAAATTATACTTTAAAAGAATATTTAATGGAATGTAGAGATGCTTACTTTATCCTTTCAAGTGGAAAGGATATTAAATTGCGTATTTACGTGATCTCATCTAGAATCATACAGCAGAGGAGACTGGGACAAGGCTGACTAAACAATCTCTGCATTTTGTGCTGCTCAGTGTGTCTGCAGGGAAACGCATTCCCTTCTTAACCAAACAGCCCAGAGAAGCTGCACCTAGAAGCCGTGTATAGACCTTCGGCTCCTGCTGTTCAGTCTCTGTCCTGGTATCCGCTCACAAGCAGCTCTTTCTGTAATTGTAATTCATGATGTGGGAAGTCCTTCTGTATACGTGTTGCTTTTATTTGCTAATGAATAAAGCTTTTTGGCCAATGACTTAGCAGAGTAAATTCAGGCAGGAAATCCAAACATATATATATAGAGAGAGCAGGCAGAGTCAAGGAGATGCCATGTAGCTGCCCAAGTAAGAGGTAGCAAACCACGATCTCCATGGTAAAATATAAATAATAGAAATGGGTTAATTTAAGATGTAAGAGTTAGTTAATAAGAAGCCTAAGCTGGGGGCTGGAGAGATGGCTCAGCGGTTAAGAGCATTGCATGCTCTTCCAAAGGACCTGAGTTCGATTCCCAGCAACCACATGGTGGCTCACAACCATCTGTAATGTCCTCTTCTAGCCTGAAGGCATATATGCAAACAGAATATTGTATCCATAATAAATAAATATTTAAAAAAAAAAGAAGCCTAAGCTGTTGGCCAAACAGTGTTGTAATTAATATAGTTTCTGTGTGATTATTCGAGTCTGGGAGGCTGGGACACAAAACAGCAGTCTCCTTCTACAAATTCAAGCTTATGTCTCATTAAATTTTGAGAGTTTGTCATGTTTGGAAGGAAAATAATAGTATTTATATGTGTTAAAGGTGTCAGGGGAGACTAATCCTTTTTATAGATCTGCAAAGTATTCTATGTATTAAAGAAAATGAGGTGCGTGGTTCATGCCTTTAATCGCAGCACTCCGGAGGCAAAGGTAGTAGGATCTATGAGTTTGAGGTCAGCCTGGTCTACAGAGTGACTTCCAGGATAGCCAGGGATATACAGAAAAACCCTGTCTCAAGACAGAAAAAGAGAGAGAGAGCAAGAAAGAGAGAGAGAGTGAGAGAGCGCCACATTTCACAAATAAAGATTGGGGGACTCAAGTCTACGAGACACAATACATCCCCATTCAGGCAGATGTTGAAGACATTCATATCACCCAAAAATCTCAGCACCTCCACCTCTTGTTCATGTTTGTACAGAAATCTAAACTTCCAAAGTAGTTATGACTTCTAGAAGGGAGAGCATGTGCTAAAGAAATGCCCACATCACCTTACACCATGATGTCACAGGGAATTTATTTAAAACTCTTAACAGCTGGTAAAGTGCATACATACAATCTCAGTATTCTGGAGGCTGATGCAGGAGGATTGCCATAAATGTGAACAGTCTGGACTACTTAACAAGACCCTTTCTTTTTAAAATAAAAAAAAAGCCTAAATATGGGGTAGTGGTGGCAAATGCCATTAATCCCAGCACTTGGGAGGCAGAGGCAGGCAGATCTCTGAGTTCAAGGCCTGCCTGGTCTACAAGACCTAGTTCCAAGAGTAGCTAGAACTGTTACACAAAGAAACCCTGTATTGAAAAAAAAAAACCAACCAAACAAACATAACTAAGAAAACGAACCTCATTTTCTCATTGTGCTTGCACAGTCCAAGCTGAAGGAGTCAGGAGCTTTGGCTGCCCGATTAGAATGTAGGTTCCCTGTGCTTGCTTTCATGAATTTATAGGAAGTGTCTACATCTTGATAACAATGACATAGGACCCAAAAATCCCAACAGCCCGATCCACGGGCATCTGTGTGCTGTCACCTTACAGTGACATTGTGGAAACTGTTCAAACACTAAGATCATGTGCTCTACTGGATTATAAAGACATGGAGAACAGAAATCAGGTCTTAGAATCAGGCCACATTGCCGTAGCTGATGTGACACACTGTGACCGAGGATGATTCTAGTATTTCTGGTCCAAGTGTCCTAAGTCACATGGGGACGTGTTCAAGCCACATCCTTCACTCACAATTAATTACATTTCCAGAAATGGTGGCTGGAATCACCTGCATTCCCATCCTGGAATTTTCAGATTGATAATGCCATAAATATGCCTTGATATTATGTATTAACATTTCTCTGTCCAAAGGAAGGCAACCCTATAGACTGATAAAAACAATGGGTATTACACTGTGTGAGCCTTACTTATCTGACACTATAATGGGTATTACAATGTGTGAGCCTTACTTGTCTGATTCTGATCCAGACATAAGGATGGAGAGATGGAGAGACATTCATGAGACAGCTGTAACCTCACACATTAACTCTATCATTGACCACATGAAGGAATGACTGCATTTCAAGGTGTGTTTTGTGGTTAAGTTATGTTCAAAATGAATTGGTGAACTGTTTAGAGACAGAATCTTGTGTCAGCATTATATGTGAAAAATAGACCAAACTCCTGGCCACAGAGCAATAGCAGTTGAAACTAAATAACAGAGAGAAAGAACTCCATTAGCTTGGTTTATGGACTTTTGTGGGTATTTGAAACTTTCCAGAAAAAGAATTGTTTTTTTTTCTATATCTAATTTTTTTTTGAAATTTGTCATAGTACATATAACCAGTCAGCACACTTCCTGCACTGAAAACACATGAAACAAACCTCCTATTAGACCAAGAAGATGCAGAAGAACACAGGTCTCGTATTGCAGTTGACAAAGAGATCAGAAGCAAGCCAAATCTGTACCTGAATGTTTTCCACGTCTTTCGGGTGCAGCAGAAACTGAACTTCCTGTAAAGTTTTCAGTTGGTTCTTGCTACTAAATTTGAGCACTTCTGAAATTATCAATTTAGCAAATTCGGGTTTAGGAAACCCCAGATTTCCTGTTCCTATTGCTGGAAATCCAATTGATTGCAGAGATAATGCCTCGGCGGTTCCTAGACAGTCTCTGATGATGTTTTTCATGATCTGAAAAGCACAAAGCACTTCCTTAAATGTCTTCTTTAGAATGAGGAACCCTAAAAAGTAAGCACTCAGCAGCTTGTCCTGGGAACACTGTCCACTCTATTGTGCTTTCAACAAAAGTTAGCAGCAGTGTGAGGGGGAAACTGCGGAGAAGAAATGAGAAAGAGAACGTGGACACCTTACAAGAGCACAGACTCACTCCACCACAAGCAAAGAGGGGAAGCCACAGCTGTCCCAGTCTATCACTGTCTCCCGGCTTCAAGCCCTCACCTTACCTTTCCTCAATAAATGCAGTATATCCCCCCAACCCTTCCCTGACCATCAGTAATTGCTGAGCACAATAACTAACTTACATGTCTAACTATGACCTATATGAACTATGATCTACAAGAAGTCATCTACAACTGAAAAGAAATGGCCATGGTATGGAACTTGCCAAACTCAAGATTCTGTCCCAGAAAAGAAGCAGACAGGGACTAGCTGTGGTGTGCTGTAGGGGAGTCCAGAGAGCTACCCCATGTCCTGGAGAATGTAAAGCTGGGTCCTACCTTCAGTGACCATGCACTGTTGTTGACTTTCCACTGTGGAACGACTACGTGAAATACGTGGTGGCAGTTCAGGTTACAGCCACTGGTTTGTAGGATTGTGCCTTCCTTGACAGAGACCCCTTGTCCTGCTTCATTCAGTTCCTTCTGGAGTTCTGGCCCGGCCTTTTCCAGTAAGGCCTTAGACAGTGGTCCTTTGTTGAGTGCAAGATCCGAGGGAATGGAGGTGACAATGACATCAGTCTTAAAGACAAAACCAAATATTCCTTTCAAATTCTTAGTAAAGGCATTCATCAACCATGACTACATTTGAGCCACTGGGCTTGGCAAAGGAAGATAGCAGTTTCTTGCACATTTTGTGACTAATGTTTAGAGAAACAAAACTCATAAAAGTCATGGTGGAAACAGTTCAAGTGTCCATTGGCTGAGAAAAACAAATGTATCTCCATCTAATAGAATATAATGCAGCCACTAAGAGGGATGAAGTACTGATATACGCTGCCGTGTGGGCAAACCCTGCAAGAATTCTCATCAGTGAAAGAAACTGGTCACAGAAGACACAAATATATTATTTCATTTATTTGAAACCTCAAGAACAGGTGAATCTATAGAGCCAGGTGTGGTGGCACACGCCTTTAATCCCAGCACTCAGGAGGCAGAGGCAGGTGGATCTCTGTGAGTTCAAAGCCAGCCTGGTCCACATTGCAAGTTTCAGGACAATTAGAGTCATGTACTAAGACCCGGTTTCAAAAAGAAAATTATACAAACAAACAACAACAGAGCAGATTAGAAGTTCTCTAGAGCTAGGAGGGTGGGGTGATGGGTGGATAAATGAGAAATAACTACAAGGTAGCACAAATTTTTTTCTGGTGGGATTGGAGTGTACTACAGTTAGATTGCAGGAATGGTCGATTGTGGTTACACACACACACACACACACAGACACACACACATAAATAAACTCATGTTCACACTGCAAGAATTATCCCTACATGAGCCCCAACTCAGAGAAGTTACATGTTTATTTTTAGTGAATATACAGAAAACCACTGATGTGCCCACTTGACTGTGAACTGTGAGTTATGTAACACTGTTTAAAGAAAAAAGCCATCAATATTCAACTGTTTAAATAATGTTTAGCTTTGCTCATCTTAGCCTGTGGGAACATGATGCACCAGCATGTCCAGGTGAAAAGGTCCAACTGTGGGGCTGGAGCAATGGCTCAGTGGGTAAGAGCACTGACTGCTCTTCCAGAGTACCCAGGTTCAATTCCCAGAACCCACATAGCAGCTCACAACCTTCTGTAACTCCAGTTCCAGGGGCTCTGACTCTCTCATATAGATCTACGTGCAGGAAAAACCACAATGCACACGAACTAAATATAAATACTTTTTTTAAAGTTTCAGTTGTATCACTGCTAGTCACAACACACCAAGAATTGTTCTTGGTGGATTCTAGAGATACTTTCTTGTGAAAACAATTCAAAGCAAGACAGGGGTACAGCATCTAGTTCATGTCATTGATTACCATAGCCAGCATATCCATCCACCTGTTTGCCATTTAAAGGTAATGGGGACAGGTGACACCCAGTGGTGATAATTTAGGACGTTCAAAAATTGGTTAAAATTTCATTGTAGAGGTTGGAAAGCTGGCTCAGCAGTGAAGAGCATTTGCTCTTCTTCTAGAGGACCCAGGTTCAGTTCCCAGCATCCGCTTATGTGGCTCACAAACACCTGGATTGGAGTTCATCTCCAAAGGATCTGACACTGCCTTCTGGCCTCTGGGCATCTGCACACATATGACATTCACTCACCTGGTCACAAACACATACACATAAATTAAAAAAAATATCAGAAATAAATCTTTTTTGTGGCTGGAGAGACAGCCGTGGATGCTGGAAACCGAACTTTTATATTTTTGGTTATGAGCCTAGCCTTTAACAGCTGAGCTATCTCTCCAGCCCCAGAAATAAGTCTTTTACAAATTTTCTCTGTATTATGATGCTTGTTTTCTTTGTGTTGTCTTAATAGTTTCTCTCTCTCTCTCTCTCTCTCTCTCTCTCTCTCTCAATAAAAAACAAGGTCTTATATAGTTCAGGCTTGCCTCAAATTCACGTTGTAACCAAAAATAGCCTTGAATTAGAATTTCTGGTCCTCCTCCCTCCATCTCCCTAGTGCTGTTTTTACAGACTTGTGGCTCCACACCGTGTTTGTGCAGTGCTAAGGGACTGAACCCAGGACTTCATGCCTGCCAGGCAAAGCTCTTTCAACTGAGCCTCAGCCAAGCGTTTGTCTTAAAAGCAGAACAGCAACAACAAAATGCTCAGAGCTGTCTGAATGACAGAAAGGGCAGATTCCCAACTCTCAGCCCCAACCCTCCTGAAGCAAACAGAAGGGTGAGGCACAGCTACAACCATGCAGAGCGACCTGCAGCTACTGGTCAGGAAGAAGGTACCAGACTGCCAGGCTTCAAATAGCTAAGGTTCCAATGAGTAGAGCCTGTGTTTAAAGGGTATCAAATACGTTTTAGGAAGAAGGGAGGAAAACAGGTCTCACTATGTAGCCCTGGATGGGCTGGAATTCTATGTAGAACAAGCTTGCCTCGAACTCACAGAGATCTGCCTGCCATGTCTTACAAGTGTTGTAATTAAAGGCAGAGAGGGTAAGAGCAGTGGCTGCTCATGCCTATATCCCCAGTGTGTGTGTGTGTGTGTGTGTGTGTGTGTGTGTGTGTGTGTGCGTGCGTTTAGGGCTGAGACAGGGGGATTGCTGTCTATCCAAAAAACATTAGTCTCCTGAAACAAATCAACAAAACAAGAATTGTCCTTACACGACTCCCAACATCTGGCCCTTCCTTCCACCCACCTGCCCACACCTTCCTCACAAAGGACCCACAGATGGGTTCAGGGAACTGATCTCCCTCGTCCACTCCAGCACCCAAGGTCACCCTTCCTCGTGTCATTGGTTAAATTCCTATCCTCTGCATTCCCCATGCTCTCCCACACCTGTAACTGACAGAAGCCAGCACTAGATGGAGCAGACTCGACAGATGGGAAATGATGAAGATGAGGAGAGCCCTGCAGTGTCCCCTACTATGGACCACAGTTAAGGGGATGTAGTGAGCCATCCCAGAGCCCCTCAGATCCTTACAAAAACACCAGTCTCTACTCCTGAGTGATTTGGGAAGAAGTCCAGTGTCCATGGGAAATGTTTGAAGACCGGAGTAGGAGGATTTTCCTCAGTCCTTTCCCTCCACCCTGTCTTCCTTGGGCCCTCAATAAAGCTGGCAGAGGCCAATGACATCACAGCACATTGTTGGTGACAGGGACACTCACCTTGGCATTCTGCACACCTTCTTCCACCAGCCGGATTTTCAGGCCTTCTGGGGACACCAGCACACAGTCCTGTGTCTGTTGTTTCTGTGGTGTTTCCCCAGGTGGCACTAATTCTAACGCGGATAAACTGGGCTGGGAAGCTGTTGGGGAGAGGGAGGCTTTATATGTAGTTTCTACAGCTTCAGCAAAGGCCCCTGCAACCTTTGCAGATATGTCCACCAGATAAATCTTTTTCAAGGTGCGCCTGTCTGGCTGGCGTTGGAAGTTGTCTTTGATGGCTGAAACAATGGTGGCCACACACTGGTCTAAGGGAAAGCCAAAGATTCCAGAGCTGATAGCTGGCATGGCTATGGATTGACACTTGACCTCCTCAGCTAAGGTGAGACTTCGTTCCACAGCTCTCTTTAATAGGCTAACGCACTCCTGGGCCTTATTTCCGTCCCACCGAGGCCCTACTGCGTGGATGACATGATGGCAAGGGAGCTTGCCTGGTTTTGAGATTACGGCGTTGCCAGTTTTGACCACACCACCATTTCTCACTATTTTGTCACATTCTGCTTGAAGTTCAGGGCCAGCTGCATTTGAAAGAGCGAGGGCCAGACCATCAATGTGTTTCAGATTCTCGTTTGCCGCATTCACGACCACATCGGCAGGGAATTGAGCCAGGTCTCCCTGCTGTACAATCAGCGTGACTCCTGGGGCTATGTTCTTCTGTAAGAGGCACTTCTGCTCTTTAAGGCTGCCTTTGTCCTTCTCTGCTGCCTCCTGGAGCTCAATGATGCATCCATACAGGCGTTTGATCTCGCTTTTGTAATAGGATGCTTTGTCCTGGAAGAAGTGCCTAGCACCAGGCTTATCAATCTGGAACCTTTTAATGCAGACTGAATCCCGGATTTGTTTGACCATGTTCATGCATTCTAGAACTTTACTCTTGAAGCCAGTTAGTAAAATGCCTTTTGGTTCATCTTCCAGCTTAAAACGTGCCTGCACATAAGCCTTTTTTATCTTTGGCCAGAACAGATTCTTATCTGCCCTTAAATACTCGATAATCAACAGTGGTTCTATTTCTACCAGTCTTTCAATTTTCATGATGTTTTCCAAGAACTCAAAAAGTTGGCCATGGATTTCATTTACTTCTTTCACACAGCCTGCAATGATGACCTCCGCTGGGGTTCCTGAAGTTAATTCATTCTTTATCATAATGCTTGCAGTGGAGAGGTGTCTTTTTTGCAGAAGGTGAATTTTCCTTTTCCACACATTGCCTCTAAAAACTTCCTTGTCTTCAACTTCAATGATTTTATAACTCAAGGTATCAAGTATGCTTTTCTCTGCTTCTGCCAGGGCTCTGAAAGAACAGGCCATCAAAAGAAGAGCTGTACTCTTCAGCTCATACGTGGCAAGATTTTTCTGTGCGTCAAAAAGAGTCTTGGAGAATTCCTGACTGTCTACTTGCTGCAGAAACATGAAGACTTCAGAAGGAATCGGGACATCTTTCTGAGGCATGGAATACACCTTTTCCTGGATGTCACACTTTACTTTATACACATCTGCACGGAATCCCTTAAAGCACAGGTGCTGAGTGGCAGCATCGTAATGAATCTCCATTTCTGGATTCTCTTTCCTCAGATCCTCCAGGAAACCACTCTGATGCAAAAGAAAATGTTTCCCCGGAGAAATGGCCACGTTCTCCTTCAGACTCTGCTCCTCCTTTCGGACTTTCTCCGTGGTGCTGTCTATTAACTCCTTGATTTTCTGGCCGATGTCTTGGACATCTTCTGATTTTCCGGCTAAGGTGAGACTCTCCTTATCAAACTCAATGAGAACCCTGTCTTCTCCTACCTCATGCTGTAGGATGTCCCACACTGGCGGATACACTTCAAACACCTTAACTTCGTACTTAGCCTTGATGTCAGACAGCACCTCGGAGGCGTCTCTCTGCCAGGTCTTGATGCTTGGTCTGTGACTGACTAAGGTGGCAGCAGGTCTGACGGTCACTGTGCCGTTGATGTCAGACCATGTTAGCTCACAGTGACAGAGTCTCATTTTGTCATTTATCTCCTCAATCAGATGGTTATTTCTTTGAAAGAACTTCCACAAAGGAAGGTCCAGTGACTCTTGGAAAGATGCTGGAAGCTTGACCAGTGGCTTCTCCTCGCCATACAAGGCTGTGCCCAGAGAAGGATAATAGGGGAAGACAGACAGTGGCATCCTGTTGAAACTGTGCTTCTTGGCCAGAATGGTGTCTAACACTTTAAAAACAAAATAAAACAAAATAACAGTAATCTCAATATTATTCATTTCCAACGAACACAAAACAAAACAAACTTTTCAGGAGGGCAAAAGTCTCTGCTGTATGTAGAACTCAAAGGTGGCATTCTCCCGTGTGCTCAGCTATAGACTGATGCTAACCACAACAAGACAGACTCCATTTAGGGCTATGATGACTTTATACCCAAATCGCTCTACACTGAAATCATGCTGAGTCTATTGTTTTTCTGATGTCACTGATGTTTGTGGCACAATAAAAAACAGACACTAATTTGGACACAAGCATGGGGTTGATGTTTGTACCATCAAAAGGAATGGTTTAAGGGCTGGAGAGATAGCACATCAGCTAAGAGCACTAGGCCACTCTTCTGAAAGACCCGGGTTCAATTCCCAGCACCCACAAAGCAGCTCACAACTGTCTGTAACTCTTGTTCCCTCACATAGATATACATGCAGACAAAACACCAACACATATAAAATAAAAAATAAAGAATTAAAAAATCATTTTAATCCTCTGGGTCGATCATTCTGCATTCTATCCCTTCCTGTATAGTCCCAGAATTTAACTTCCATAGCTAACTTCATTTCTCAGGAGAAGATAATTGTGACAGCACTCTGTGTAACTTTCCCAAGGGCTTTACATAAATTTCCTGTGTTTGCTCTTGACAGTGGCCTTCTCAGGTAGAGATTCTATTACACCCATAGATGGAGGTGAGAAAGCCGAGGCTGGGGAAAGTCAGGGTTCTATAAACCCAGGGAAGTATCTGAGCTAATTGCCAGTGGGAGCCAACACAGACCCTGTTAAATAAACAGAAAGGGGTGGAAAATGCCCCCCAAAATAGATTACATAATGCCTTATTAACCTTGAATTTTCTTAACGCTAATGAGAAAGGAACAACAGCGGCAAAAAGACATTGGATAATGGAAAAGTCTGCTAAACTAAATCAACCGGTTTATTTCAAGGATGTGCTGACCTCTCACTGGAAGCCAGGAGATGTGCTACGTTGGGGAAGGGGTTTTGCTCTTGTTTCCACAGGAGAAGAAAAATCGTGGATACCATCAAAATTAATAAAGGTTCGATTTGAAGAGGAGAAACCTCTTGGAAAGGAGAAATAACAGCATCCACAATGATGATATTCATACAGGTGGTAAGAAAAACATAGAATGGGGGCAGGGTTCTGTTCTTATCTCCACAGGAAAACACTCATCTTTAAAAAATTCAAGGGACCCTGGATGTTTGAATACTGACTGATGGAAAAATAACTATCCAATAGGGACTATCAGGAAAACTGAGCAGGTTCTATGAATATGGGGCTCTGGGATGTACTAAATCATATTTCTAACTTTATAGAGCTGGTTTGAATATGGGACTCTGGGATGTACTAAATCATATTTCTAACTTTATAGAGCTGGTTTTGGAGTTGACTCTCGGCTCAGTCCCTCTCTCATTCCAAGCCTGTTGTTAAGAGAAAAACCCAGAGTTTCTGTCCTCTGTCAAGAGCCATGATATGAGACAAAAAGAAATATGAATTTAGAAAACATCTTTGCTTTTTCTTCATATCTATCATACTCTTCATTGAATATATCTATCATACCTTTCATTAAATATATGTATGTCTGTATATGTCTATATAATTAATGTTTAAGTTTTCCACAGTGAACAATGAGTTTTTTCTGCACTGATTTTTGAAGTTTCCAGGAAGAAGATGGGGCCCCCATAACAACAACTCCCCTGGGTTGATATGACGTCATGATACTGATAGCGCTACTACAAGTCCTGTTTTGGGTATCCAGCTGAACATATGATTCCAACTTGGTCAGCTAAAATGGTGCACATCTTGTACAACATTCTGGCCAGACCTCAACAAAATGCTCAGAGACTGTTTACAATTTTAAAAGACATTGATCTTAAAATTTAACTATCATTTTTCTTTCACAGGATCCTTCAGAAAGAATATCACCCCCATGACAGCTGAAAGTAATTCTAGAGGAAGATGTCCCCTCTCCCAACAAAGATTGTCCTCGGATTTAGGGACAATATTTAGAGTTTGCTTATAATTAATATACAGTTGAGGGTTAGGAGAGGAATTTTATAAGCTCAGGGATCTTTTTGAAAAAAAAAGAGGGAAAATTGGATAGATAATAATGATGGTATTTGTGAGTTATTATTTATACATAATTACATTGGTATAAATTTTTGTATATAGATACAAAGTTAAATTATATTGAATATTGTATGCATACATGCTTCTATCTCTGTTTAAAACATTTTTATGTATTGATGTATATTGTATTGATATATGTATACCATATTGCAGTGTACATTTCTACCTCTGACTAAGATACTTATTTATTATTTATGTATTGCTATTCATTGTTTACATTTGGAGGTAATTGTTCTCATTTATTGCACAGTTGTTTATTCTCTTAGGCTTTAAGTTAGATAGGTATTAAGAATTGTAGATCAATAGTCATCTATGTCTGCATATTTATAGTTAGACTAATCAGGTTCTTTAGATACATAGAGATTATATTTTGTATAAATAGTCTTCAACCTCTTCGAAGAGCTGTAGAAAATGGCATTTAATTTAATCTTAGAGTTCTGTGGTAGTGAGACACAATTACTCCTGGCAACACCGACCTATTCCCAAGAGATTGTTGAGCACCAAAGACACTCCACTTGGAGCTTGTCTTCTTGACAAAACTGGCCTCATACCTCAATTACTGACAAAATACACAGTATCCGGAAATGGATAAACAGAACTGTCAAAGACAGGGTAAGATGGTTTTAAAAAAATCTCTTGCCTGTTAAAATCCAGAAATGGATAAGCAGAACTGTCAAATCTTGCCAAGACAGGGTAAGATGGTTTTGTAAAATCTCTTGCCTGTTAAAAATAATCTGTCAGTTATTCTAGGCCTTAGTCAAAGTTGGTTGCTTCAACGCTGAAAACATGAGTTTGGGTGATTGCCCAAGTAGCCAGTTGTCTCTGTGATTTGTTACATGTTTTGGAAGTTGTTTGATTGCACTTCCTAATTACTCAGGTAACATTATTTCTCTTCTCGGATATTCTACGGGGTTGAAGACTAGGTAAATGTAGCAACTTTCCTCTCATGACTTGTCCAAGTTATTTATTATGCAAGACTTGTGCTAGTTAGGATAGGATATTTGTTATGATTGTATATAATTTTGTAGTAGGTTTAGAATGCTCTTACTTAAACAAAAGGGGGAGGTGCTGCGGGAGGACCTTCAGCTCCTTCAGTCAACAGTCACTGAAGTACAAGCCCACTGTGCTGCAGGAGCACCTTCCGCTCCTTCAGCCAATAGCTCCTGAAATACCAGCCCATTGGGGCGTGGTCTATTTATCTTTAAAAAAGAGCAGCAAGCCTCGGTCAGCTCCCTTGGTTCCGGTGCTTAATTCCTGCTCCTGCTCCTGCTCCAGCGACTAGGGTCCTTTCCTGACGGTTGGTGCTTTGTGAGTTTTAACCCCAAAATAAATGCCCCCTTAAATACTAACTGGAGTGGGATTGTTTTGCGCATTAAGATCCCATGGTCTTGCTCCTATACCAAATCAAAATCATCCTCACAGTCATTGGAGAGTCCAGCCCCAGAGGTCACAATTTAGTAAGGCCTTCCCCATTATATCTCCTGGTCACCATGTGTACATGGACAGCCACCACAACCCACCCTGACTGAATGCTCACGTTCTCTCTCTTTCTCCAGGACTCTCCTCACCTTATTTTAGCTGTTGGCACGTGTAAGTAGTATCAGCATGGAAATTAGAATCAATCCCACAACAACTTGGATTTAAATGGCACCCATGGCAGAAGCATGCTAAAACATGATACCCTGGTGAAGGACTCAGTCCTAGGGCAGGTATCAGGCCTGAGGGAAGGAATGTGACTTTCAGAGGCCCAGCTTCCCACAGGGCTCCAGAGAGGCTGGACAGCCTGAGTGACCTCCAGCTCAGACTCAGCACCCCCTTAGGCCAAGCACTGCTGAGGGACTGTTTCCTTTCCTCCTACAGCATCCTCTGAGGTAACTCCAACACTACCACTACAGATGAGAAAACAGAAGGTTTGAGGGCTCACAAAGGTCAGCATGCCAGTGACCTCCAGTCAGGATTGTAACTCAAGTCTGTCTGACTCAAGAACCACTGATGATGTCATCAACAGGACTTCCATCTCCTCCTCAGGTTATGAGAAATCTCTATTACCCCATCTCAGCACAGGCACAGCACAGGGGGAACAGGAACGCTTTCTAGAACTCTACACGCTTCTGAGTCCATCTCTCCCTAAACTTGTTGATTAGAGAATCAATGCAGGGATTGCACAGATCTATGGCTGTGAGTACGGCCTGTCAACGTTCCTAGAATGGCGACCTTCAGTCACAGGCCGGACTCGTCAGAGACTCTCCCTGTCTCTCATGAGCTTGTTCTGCTTCTCCAGAGCCTGCCTTGCTGCCCTTGTTCTGCACCAAATCCAGATGAATGAGAGATTGGTGCCATTTCTGACAGATTAAGGAATGGCTGAAATGGCCAACCATCCAGGTCTTGCCCAAGTGGCAGGCCAAGACACATTACCTTTGGTGTCTGAAAACTCAACCAGTGCCGAGCTCTCTTCTGGGAAACACTCAACCTGGGTGACTCTTCCACCCCCATTGAAAGGGTTTTCAAAGTAGAGCTGTAGCTGGTAGTCTTCTACCCAAGGAGGCAGGTTTTCCACCCTAACTACATTTGTTGTTTCCAGAAGTCTCGGGGCAAGCTGCAGCTGTCGGTTCGAATGGTGACTGATACAATCAACAATAAATTTTTTGGTATCTACAAAACAGAAAGAAAATGAAAAAATTTCAGTGGCATCTCTATATGGTATGGGGGGCTTGGCCACAACCCAGAATGGGACTAGTCAGCTACTGTATTTTCTCCTACTGAGCTGTCCTTTGGCCATGGCCAACCCTCCTGAATGCACTCCTCACAATGCCACCCCTCACCCTATTTTCTCATGTCCATTTATTCCCACTATGGCAGCAGGTAGGAGCCCACATCTACAGCCAGGCTCCTGACTCCAAACACACATCCCAATAGCACTTTCAGTGCCATGCACAAGTAGTCATGAATCAGGTGATGGTGGTGCATGCCTTTAACCCCTAGCACTTGGGAGGCAGAGACAAGCAGATCTCTGTGAGTTTGAGGCCAGCGTGGTCTACAGAGCTAGGTTCAGGACAGCCAGGGCTACACAAAGAAACCCTGTCTCAAAAAACCAAAACCCAAATGAAAACAAACAAACAAACAAACAAAGCCAACAACAAAAAGTCAACTAGCTATGTTTTCAAGGTTCTCTTTTGTCCTTGTATACACAGTTGCCCATGTCTGCAGTGCCCTTGTCTGAAATGCTCTTCTCCAAATGGGATCGGTGGTTTTATTGTGTGGCTAAGGATAAAACTGAACCATGCTACCATAATACGGGTATGTCTACAGTCCTCCCTCCTCTGTTTTTTCAGTTGGTCCTATTTACTTTCAGGACTCAGCATAACTATCTCTTTTAAATCAACAGGGGGATGATGGGCCTGTCACATGCCAATCATTTTGCTGGGATCTGAGAAATGAATACAAGTCCTTGTTTGTGTATCACTGGGCAGGTTTGGATCTTAAGCACAGTTGAATTGCCTTTTGGACTCCAATAAGGAACAGATGAAATGGAGACTCAGACTCGGTATATGGTCTATATATGGTCTCTAATTTGAACACTAAAGCAGGGGTTGCCAAATGGATAAGAGGAGGGAACAGTGCCAGTATGAACAAGCGTGGTGTCCTGTGGAGATGGTCAGGTGACACTGCTGGAGGACACTCCAGGTTACTACACCTGGGAGACAGCCTCTCTTTCATCTCCATTATTCATTGACACACATGCCTCCCTCCTCCTCCCAGACTGAGTTCTTCTAGAGAGGGAGCTATGATTTTAGTCATTGTGCCTCAGCCCCTAAACCAGTACCTGGCCCACAACAGTGGCCATAGTTTAGAAGGAAACTGTCCCTGAGGCCCATGTGTTAAAGTCTTAGTCCTCACCCAGGTGCTATGGGAAGTAGTGGATCCTTTAACAAGTGAGGCCTGTGGGAAATGTCCCAGTCATTGATGGAGGAGATAGGGATAAGACGAGCCTGGACTCTTCCCCCCTTTCTCTCTCTTTATCTCTGTCGGTCTGTCTCTCTGTGTGTCTCTATCTGTCTGTCTGTCTCTGTCTCTGTCTCTCTCTCTCCTCCATGCTGTCATCATGCATACCATTTCAACATAAGCCCCAGGGAAGCAGGGCTAACCGACCATGAACTGAAGCCACCCAAACTGTGAACTGGCATAAATCTCTCTTTTTGGAGGCTGATGACCTCTTGTCTTTATTACAGTAATATAAGCTAACAAGAATGCACTCAAGATTGCACTAAGGGTAAGTCTGTTGGCATCATTGCCTTACAGAAGTGTGGCATGGTGACAGGCCAGTCTTAACTCCTCCTGGGGAAGTAGAGGAAGAGTTCAAACTCTTCCAGTTAGAATCGCCTGGGACTTTCTATCTATCCCCACACCCCACCCCATCCCACCCCACCCACTCAAACAATCATGTAATTAAGGGCAGTCTATGAAACAGACCCAAATTGGATTTCAAAATGAATTTGTTCTTCTTTCCAAAATCTGAAGGGAAAGGCCCCTGTATTGGCTTAGAGGCCTTGTTTACACAATACAACAAAATGTCACATACTCAGAGATGTCGCAAACCCTGTGGTGTATTGGGCAGAAGCCTGGGAATGCAGGGCCTCCCTGAGGCTCACCTATAGGCTTCTGAAAGGTAACCACGGCAACGCCAAAATCTCGGATCACTTCCACCTTAAAGTCATCACTGGGGAGGCCGCTTATATTCTCCACCAGGATGGTCAGCACTATGTCAGTCACTTTCTCAGGCAGGTTTTCAAATGCCACCATGGAGGGAACAGTTTCACTTTCTTTGGGGACATCTTCTGTTCTGTTGCTGGGAGAATGTGCTGTATCCATATCATCTGAGGAAACTGGAAATTACAATGAAAGGTGTAAGGTATCAAATCATGGTTTAATTAAGTATGTTATCCCGAGACAACCCTTGCCCTTATCCATATCTTGGCTAACGCTGCTAAAAGGACATCACAGTTGAACTTCTGAATTAGTGAATTAAAAACTAAAATGTAGCCGGTGTGGTGGTGCATGCCTTTAATCCCAGCATCCAGAGGCTGGGGCAGGCGGATCTCTGTAAGCTCCAGGCCAGCCTGGCCTACAGAGTGCGTTCAAAAACAAAACCAAAAATGTAGTAGTTGGGGGTTTTGTTGTTGTTCTTAGTAGATTAAAAACCAAAAGTAGCCCTTGTTGTTTTATTTTGCTGTTGTTGTTATCACTATTTCAATTTTATTATATTTTCTATTCTGTCTTTCTGAGGAAGGTGTTGTAGGGTGTTGCGGGCTGTGTTCCTGCTGCCCCAGCTCCTGGCTGCCTGGCTAGCTTATGCCCCAAAATAACAACACACAAACTGTATTCATTTAAACACTGCCTGGCCCATTAGCTCTAGCTTCTTACTGGCTAATTCTTACATCTTAATTATCTATTTCTATTAATGTGTGTTGCACCTCAAGGTGCGCTTACCGGGAAAGATTCAGCATGTCTGACCTGTGGCTGGCTGCATCACGTCTGGCTCTGAGAGGAGCTGCCCTGCATCTGAGCTCACTTCCTTTTCCTCTCAGCATTCTGTTCTGTCTACTCCACCCACCTAAGGGATGGCCTATCAAATGGGCCAAAGGCAGTTTGTTTATTGACCAATGACCTTCCTCCATCATTTCCCCTTTTTCTGTTTAAACAAAAAGGCTTTCACTTTAACATAGTAAAATCACACATAACAAAACAATTATCAAGCAATATTTACAGTTACAATATCTATATCTACTTTATCCTTTATCATAACTAAGAAAAACTATAACTATCTATCTATTCTTCAACTCCATCAAAGACTCCAGAAGGATATAATATTACCTAAGTAAATGAGAAGTAAGCAACTTACAAAACTCTAGAAATCACAGAGACATCTCACTGCCTGGACAGTCACCCAAAGTTCCTCTGTACTGTTGGGGCATCCATCTTCGGCCTACAGGCCCATAGTTTCCAGAGACATTTCCATGAAGCAGGAAATTTCAAAGTCAGATCAGTCACTATCTTCTGTGTCCTGCAGAATGTCTCACAGACTTTTTCATGAATCAGGAACCCTGAAAGATCATCTCACCTTTAGGCAAGTTCAGCAGTCCTCTTTCTGTGGGTTCTTCGTGTCCATTATGCAACAGTCCAGGCAAGAGCAGTTTCTTGCCCAAATGGCTATCAGACTCCATAAGGTGTCTCTTCAATGCCCATCTTCTTCTTGAAGTAGATTGGTGCTGCCAGGAGCAGACGTGTCTCATTGTCATGAAAAGCCCTAAATTATTAAAACATTAAATAGCATACTCCGTAGTCTTTGAAAGATATGAAGAATGTCTACCTAAAATATATCTATGTACATCTAGAAAAATCTAACTAACATGACTACAAGCTTGATTATTATTAATGATTATCCATTAACAACCTATATTTCCTAATTATACATTACATTTTAAAAATGAACCATACAATCACAATACCTTAAATCAAGAGCAGAGATACATATACATATAACAAAATTGACCTTAAATCCATACCAATGCAAATTATTCATACCTATATCATTTCCCCCTTTAAATGTAAAAGAACATTTATAAACAATATTTGGGAACATGGGTGCAGTTTTTTCTCTCCAAACTGCTTCCTGCTGAATGGGGGCGCTGTTATTCAGATCTTTCATGGTATAACCTGTGTGCCAGGGTCATCTCAGTCAGCAGTTGAGTGAAGTAATTTTCTGAAGGTGTTCACAGTAACCTTTCAGGAGGGCATGGTCTATCATACCATATTGGGATAGAAGCAATCCAAAGAGTCTCATCCTCTGTGAAAACAAAAGAAACTCCTCTCCAAAGCATCATGTCCTTAGATCCAAATTTCAAAGTCAAGGTATTTTGAAAATATCTATCTTGTATTAGTTCAGCAGCATTTATAAACAAATATCTTTTAGCAGCTCTTGCTCCTTCCTCAGCATTCAAACAATTCAAACAGAGCATAATAGCATAGAGTATCAAGATTCTCTGTGTATTTTCCATCTTTGTGTGGCTTTATTTTAACCTCTATTTTGTTTATTTTTACTTTTTTTTTTTTTTTTTTTTTTTTTTTTGCTTTTTGAGACAGGCTCTCTGTATATCTTTGACCTGGAATAACTCTGTAGACCAGGCTGTCCTTGAACTCTCAGAGATCCGCCTGTCTCTGCCTCCCAGGCATTGGGATTAAAGGCGTGTGCTACCACCCCTTGGAGTCACAGAGGTCAATCTCCCTCTATCTTCCAAGTATTGGGATTAAAGGTGTGCACCACCACACCCAACTACTCTCTTTCTTCCTTTTTTTTTTGTTTTTTACTTTAAGAACTTTAACTTTTAGCCTGCATATATTTTTAACACACTGTAAATCATTTAAAGGTTTTCTTTGTCTTTGAATCTCTCTTTACTGTATATCTCTCTTTTTCTGACCACACGAGCCTTTAATTTACCAAGCAATATAGGTAGGATTAAAGCCGTGGCTTTGAAGGCTGGATCCAGCCCATTCCTTAGCTTTCCACCCTCATGGCGGAGGTACCGATTGTAGCCACGTTTATTACCACAACTCTGTGGCATTTCAAGGTCCCTGCTAACAAGTAAGCTGCAGCATTATGTCCACAGACAACACTCAAGTCCTCTCTCTGTAGTCGGCCCTCCTGCCTCAAACAGTCAGAGTTTGCTCTGGCAGGACAGCCCAGAAAGCTGACATTTTTAAATGGCACAGTTTTTCCTGCTATGGCTGAAAACCGAAAAGCATATGTTCAGCTTTTCATCAACACCATTTAAGTGTTTTGTGGCAGGACCTCTTAAAAGAGCTGCAGGTCAGGAGGCCTCTCTTAGATGAGACTAATTGCTTGCCTCTGGCAAGCAGAGCAGACCCGAGAAATTGCTGCTACCAAGAAAACATGCTTTACTCTATTCTTTCCCAAGCTTTCTCAGGCTTTCTGTGGACTCAGTTGCTCCACATTGGGCGCCATTCTGTTGTGGGAGCTGGGGGCTGTGTTCCTGCTGCCCCAGCTCCTGGCTGCCTGGCTAGCTTATGCCCAAAAATAACAACACACAAACTGTATTCATTTAAACACTGCCTGGTCCATTAGCTCTAGCTTCTTACTGGCTAATTCTTACATCTTGATTATCTATTTCTATTAATGTGTGTTGCACCTCAAGGTGTGCTTACCGGGAAAGATTCAGCATGTCTGACCTGTGGCTGGCTGCATCACGTCTGGCTCTGAGAGGAGCTGCCCTGCATCTGAGCTCACTTCCTCTTCCTCTCAGCATTCTGTTGTCTACTCCACCCACCTAAGGGATGGCCTATCAAATGGGCCAAAGGCAGTTTGTTTATTGACCAATGACCTTCCTCCATCAGGAAGGGGCATCCTCCCTCATATGTGTCTCTCAAGGACTTGACTATGATTATAGAACCAAGCTTCTACAGTCAGGGTAGAGTCTTCATCTCTGTGCTGTGGCACAAGGCAGACAGCTGAGGCTCATCAGGTGTCCACTGCATTAGAGAACTACTGTGGCCTCCCTGGAGGAGCAAAGGTATAGGAAGCTGTGTACATACTCGTGCTAACAAAGTAAGAGTTTAAGGATTACACACTGTAGCAGCATCAGTGAGGAATGACTGGCTGGGTTAGACAGCTTGCTGTGTCAGTGTGAGGGCTGGAGCTTGAATCTCCAGCCCCCTTGTAAAGAGCTGGGCATGGCTACATGTGCCCAGTGTGGAGAACAGAAATGGACCAATCCCCAGAGCTCCCTGGACAGCAAGCCTACCCAAAGGGGCAAACGTAGGTTCAGTGAGTGATAGGGGAGAGTCTTCTGTTTTATGTTAATTTCATTGGTTAAATAAAGAGACTGCCTTGGCCCTTTAATAGGACATAAAATTAGGTAGGCAGAGTAAACAGAACAGAATGCTGGGAGAAAGAAGCTGAGTCAAGGAGTTGCCATGATTCTCTCACTCCAGGCAGACACAGGTTAAGATCATTCCTGGTAAACCAGCTCATGGGCTACACAGATTATTAGAAATGGATTAGGTCAATATGTAAGAGCTAGCCAATAAGAGGCTGGAACTAATGGGACAGGCAGTGTTTAAAAGAATACAGTTTCAGTGTAATTATTTCGGGTAAAGCTAGCTGGGTGGTGGGACGCAGCCCAGCCCACTGCGCCAATCACAACAGAGTGGCGCCCGACGTGATGGACTAAATCCACTTAAAAACCTGAGAAGGCTTAAAAATAAGGGAGAGAGAGTTTAACACAGATTTTTGCTGTTTGTTGGTGGCTTGCTGTAGAGAGATTTCCTGATTCGGCAACAGCAGCAGAAAAAACACTGTGTCATTTTAAAGCGCGGCTTCCTGGGGCTGTGCTGCCAAAGCATTTCAATGGATTTTATGGGACTGGATGTTTGTGTTCCCGCTTGGGATCGGAAGGAGAGTGCTCTAAGACCTTGCTGATGGCTTGGCGCTCCCCACCTGCACCTGGGCAGACTGCAGAATCAGGCTTAGGCAGGTGGAAGAGCATGGCGGATTTCTGCCGCCATACAGAGGCATGTTTTCAGACTGCACAGTGCTCTGCCTGTCAGATTTGGCTATAACTTGGATGAAAAGAATTTCTGTGCTGCACGCCCAGTCTCAGAATTAAAGTGCTGAGTGCCACTCCTACCTGGCGGCCCCAGAGCTAGCACAAAATGGTATGTCTTCCATTTTGAAATTTTCCTGACTCAGCAGCAGGAAAAAACTGGCTGTTTTAAAATGCCAGCTTTCTGGGCTGTGCCGCCATTGCGATCTCTGTCTGGCTCCTGCGGGAGACAGAGCTTTTGAATGGAGCATTTGGAGTAAGTGCTATGATTTGTTTGATGGCAACTAGACTGCAGTGTGCCTAAAAGGAAGTCATTGTGTGCTGTGGCTCAGAGGCACAAGCAGCTCCACCACGCTACTGGTGAAATGTGCAAGGATCAGAGGCACAAGTGGCTCCGCCATGTTGGACCGGGTGGGGCAAGCAGGCAGTACCTGTTTTTGACCTAGGAATTGTCACAGCTTAGATTCTTAAGCGCTTAGTGATTTAAAGGCACAAAACAAAGTGCTCCTGGATAGTAAAAAAAAAAAAATTACAGATTCACAATAAAACATATTCAGACACTGTTGGATGAATGTACGTAGGCTTGGGAGAGAAAAGAAAAAGAATATAAAGAATAAAGTTAATGTCTTTAAAAAAGGGTAAAGTCTTTAAAGAGACAGAGTACAAATAGTTATAGATTAAAAGAAATAAAGAAAAATAAGCCACATAAAAATGGAAAATTCACAGAGAGTCTGGATTATGTACATTGTGTTTTCTTTAAAATTTTTGACTGTGAAGGAGATAAGTACAGAGAGACATTTCATTACATGGGCTGCCAAGCTAAACCAGAATGGATATAAGGGTATTACGATTTCAAAATTGGGTCTAAGGATATGATGCTTTGGAGAGGGTCTTCTTTTGTTTTCATAGAGGATCAGACCCTGTGGATTGATTCTATCCTGATATGGTATGATAGACCACGACCTCCTGAAAAGTTGCTGTGAACACCCTCAAAAAATTACTTCATTCAACTGCCAACTGAGATAAACCTGGCACACAGGTTACACCCTAAATGATCTGATAAGAGCGCCCCCATTCAGCAGGAAGCAGTTTGGAGAGAAATAACTGTGCCCATATTTCCAAATATTGTTTATAAATGTTCTTTTACATTTAAAGGGGGAAATGATATAGGTATGAATAATTTGCATTGGTATGGATTTTAAGGTCAATTTTGTTATATGTATATGTATTTATTGATCTTAATTAAGGTATTGTGATTGTGTAGTTCATTTAAAATGTATAATAGGAAATATAGGTTGCTAATGGATAATTATCGATAATAGTAAAGCTTGTAGTCATGTTAGTTAGATTTTCTAGATACATAGAGATATATTTCAGATAGGCATTCTTCATATCTCTCAAAGGCTGCAGAATATGGCATTTAAAATATTTTAATAACTGAGGACTTTTCATGACAATGAGACACATCTGCTTCTGGCAGCACCAATCTACTTCGAGAGGAAGATGGGCATCGAAGAGGATCCTTGTGGAGTTTGATAGCCATTTGGGCAAGAAACTGCTCTTGCCTGGACTGTTGCATAAAATGGACACAGAGAACCCATAGAGAGAGGACTGCTGAACTTGCCTAAAGGTGAGACGGTCTTTTGGGGTTCATGACTCATGAAAGAATCTGCGAGACATTCTGCAGGACACAGCAGATAGTGACTGAACTGTCTTTGAAATTTCCTGCTTCATGGAAATGTCTGCTGGATACTATGGGCCTGAAGGCTGAAGATGGATGCCCCAACAGTACAGAGGAACTTTGGGTGACTATACAGGCAGCGAGATGTCTCTGTCATTTCTAGAGCTTTGGATTTCTTGTTTGCTTAGGTAATATTATATCCTTCTGGAGTTTTTGATGGAGTTGAAGAATGAATAGATAGTTATAGTTTTCCTTAGTTATGATAAAAGACAAAATAGATATAAATATTGTGGCTGTAATTCTTGCTTGATAACTGTTTTGTTATATGTAATCTTACTATGTTAAAGTTAAAGCCTTTCTTTTTTGTTTAAACAGAAAAAGGGGAAATGATGGGGGAGAGTCTTCTGTTTTGTGTTAATTTCATTGGTTAAATAAAGAGACTGCCTTGGCCCTTTAATAGGACATAAAATTAGGTAGGCGGAGTAAACAGAACAGAATGCTGGGAGAAAGAAGCTGAGTCAAGGAGTCGCCATAATTCTCCCACTCCAGGTAGACACAGGTTAAGATCATTCCTGGTAAGCCAGCTCGTGGGCTACACAGATTATTAGAAGTGGGTTAGGTCAATATGTAAGAGCTAGCCAATAAGAGGCTGGAACTAATAGGCCAGGCAGTGTTTAAAAGAATACAGTTTCAGTGTAATTATTTTGGGTAAAGCTAGCCGGGTGGCGGGATGCAGCCCAGCCCACTGCTCCTATCACAACAAGTGAGAGACCCTGTCTCCAGGCAGGAAGGCAGAGTTATGCAGGGAAAGAATTCCTCTCCCCTAGATTCGGTGTCTGCATCTCTTGGTTGTTCTTGCTCACCTTTTTCAGTATGGTTCTTCATTTGGTGCCCTTTACACAGATATTATTAGCTGCTCCTTCATTTAAGTCTTGAGCAGAACCCACCCACCAGCAAAGCAGGAGACCTGACCCCAGCTCCAGTGCTGGCTGTTTCCTGTGCAATTGAGGAAGGAAGAGCTGGTGCCACCCAGAGAGACACACAGCAAGCATCCACTACAAATCCTGTCCTTAGCAGGGCGGAGGTGGCGCACACCTTTAATCCTAGCACTCAGGAGGCAGAGGCAGGTGAATCACTGTGAGTTTGAGGCCAGCCTGGTCTACAAGAGCTAGTTCCAGGACAGGCTCCAAAAACTACAGAGAAACCCTGTCTTGAAAAACCAAAAAGAAAAAAAAAAAGAAAAAGAAAAAGAAAAGAAAAGAAAAAAAGAAAAAAGATCCTCTCTTTGCCACTACAAGTTCTATCCTTGCTATTACTAGCCACCAAAAACACAAGTGTCCATCACCACCTCCTACATCTTCCTCTCCTCTTTTCATCTCCCAAAGCAAAATAAAAAACAAAACAAAACCAAAAGCTGGTCCTGTTCCTCTGAAGCTAACCAGAAGAGCAATGGGCTGTCTCAGGGAATGCTTTAAACACGTCTGGCTCAAACTTGAAACAAGATGCCCCTGCAGATGGCTCCAAGGTGAGCGGAACCTGTCTGATATGAATCTAGACATCTAGATGAAGCTCTCCCAAGATACTTGTTTAATAAACACAAAACTGCCTGGTCAACACCAGGGCTGCCTTAGCCGAGACTTACCATTTTCTGTAGCTTCTTTTTTTGTCTCGGATTCCTAAAAGGCAAACAGCAAGACAGCATTAATTCCAGAATCATTTCTTTTTGTTCGTCTGGGTTTTGTTTGGTTGGTTTTTGTTTCTTTGCTTATTTGTTTGTTTGGTTGGTTTTATTTGTTTCTTCGAGACAAGAGTTTCTCTGTGTAACTGTCTGACTGTCATGGAACTCTGTAGACCAGTCTGGCCTCGAACTCATAAAGATCTACCTGCCTCTGCCTCCCGAGAGCCAGGATTAAAGGCATGTACCACCACCACCTGGAGACTATGAATCATTTCATATATAAATAAAACACCTCTTAGGCCAGGCTGGAGATGTAAGTTAACTGAAAGGATAATGACACGTTTGGATAATGGATTGAGAGCTACATGTCACAGTTGTCTTCTTGCTGGTCACAATAATCACTGATGAAATGAGACACACACAGGAGACTCCGTGAGGCACTTTAGCCAGCAGTATGCCTGATTTGGCACTTAGTTCATGTTTACTGTATGAACATGGTGCACGTGCTTCAGAGAGGTCCCTGACAATCTTCTTCACAGCTGAGGGAACAGCACACGTGGGGTACACTGCTGGCCTCAAGAAGATGGAAACAGAACAGCAGGCTTCTGGTTATAAAGACACCAAGACCAATGGATACAACTTTGACATCCCAAATATATTACTATTGAGCCCCCCAGTCTTGACTTTTCCAAAAATGACAGCTTCTCCGTTGTTTACAGTCCTTGCTCCCTCCAGAGTCCCACGCTGCCATTCTCAGGCTACTGTGACTTAGGCCCTCATCAACCATTTTTCTTTTTGAGACATGGTCTCACTGTAGCCTTGGCTGGTCTGGATTCACTACGTAGATCAGGCTAGCCTTGAACTCATAAAGATCCTCCTACCTCTCCCTCCTGAGTGCTGGGATTAAAGGTGGATGCCACCTCACCAAGCTCATCTCCACCATATTCATCATAGAGATTTCCGCACACCTTGTAATAACGTCCCATGTCCTTACCTTTTCTGGAACTGCTTCCTTAGAGACTGAGGCTTCATCTGGGTCTTCGGGCAACCGGACAGTTAACTTGAATGTCCCTTTTCCTGGCCACACTAACTCATGATTCTCTTTCTTCAGAACATTCTGCCGAACTGAAGAATTAAAAAAATAAAAAGATTTTAAGCCAAATTTCAAGAAATATTTCCTTACATAACTAGTCCATGATTTCTACAAATTCATTGTTACGAGCCAGCAGCTCAGCCCATCTCCCTAAGCAGCAAGCCCTTGTAAAAGAAGGAGAACTCAGCACAGGGATGTGAATGTCACTGTGTGTGCATTATTCATGTTGTAGATGTGTGGGCATATGGAGCAGTGCACACCCCTGGTCACGTGGAGGTCACTGAAGGACACTGGATATTTCCCTGCATTGCTCTCTGAGTTCTGGCCTGGAGACGGGGTTTCTCACTGAAGTTTTCTCATTGCCTAAGCTTGCTGTGATCTGCCCATTTCTGCCCTCTACACTGGGCACATGGAGCCATGCCTAGCTGTTTACGAGGGGACTGGAGTTTCAAATTCTGGCCCTCACACTGACACAGCAAGCTGTCTAACCCAGTGAGCCATTCCCCTGCTTCTAAACTTCCTGGGGTGGTGCGGTTTATTTGTTGATGGAGCTTTCTTGAGACAAGGCTACTATGCAGCCCTGGTTGGCCTAGAACTTGCTCTGTAGACCAGGCTGGACTCACACTCACAGACACCTGCCTGCCTCTGTTTCTCAAGTGCTGGGGTCAAAGCATGTGCTGCCATGCCTAGATTACTTTCTAATATTCATTGCTTTATCTTAGTTATTGAGTATTCCCAAAGGGCCTTGAGATTACAAACATGGTTGCCAGCTCATGGTCCTGGAAGTTTTAAGAAATGAGTTCTAGAAGAAGTCAGATTTCCCCAAGGGAGGGGTGATCCTGGGACCCCAGCCCTTTTCTCCTTTCTGTATCTCTACATAGCCAAGAGTTCCCGATATGGTGTACTGCCTTGTGCCATTGGCCCGAAAGGAGCAGGCCAATTGATTGTAGACCAAAAACTCCAAAATTGTAAAGCCCAGATAAACCCTTCCTCTATTAAAGGTGATTATCTTAGATATGTTATCACACAAGGGAACTCTGGTCAATGCCGTTAGCATCCTGCTACACAAATCTTACTTACACAGCCTCAGCCTTCTTATTGGCTACTGAGGTCGTTGGAATTGTTTTGAGTCAGTCAGTGAATTCCATTGAAGAAACACAGAGTGTAGTAGTACAGAACCTGTACTGGACTGGGTGGGTTCTGAAGGTGTGAATATTTATAATCACAGGGACAACTGTGTACATGGGGTGAGACCCATGTTGTAGACAGATGACCCAGTTGGTCATCAGAATGATCAGAAGTCCAGCCATTAGACTGCAATGATAAACAACCCATATTTGGTCTGAAAGGGAACAGGAAAAAAAAAACTAGAATGAGCAGCAGTGGTGGCACACACCTTTAATTTCAGCACTTGGAAGGCAGAGCCAGGCAGATCTTTGTGAGTTTGAGGTCAGCCTGGTGTACAAGAGCTAGTTCCAGAACAGGCAGGCCAGGTTTATACAGAGAAACCCTGTCTCAAAACGAAGCAAATCAATCAAACAAACAAACAAACGAAAACAGAATACAACAGATTTTGCAAAAACAGAATTAGAGCATCAGACAGCTGAACTTAGTGAAACTCTACAGAATCCAAAGACTTGCCATTTGATTTCTAGCTCACCCACAGGCTAGCTGAGCGGCTATAAAGAACTAAACACTTCTGGAGCAGAGGTTCCCCACTGAAAGTATTTTCTAGGAACGCTGTCAACCACATAAAGAGCTATGAAAGTGTCAACTGTGATATCAGAAGCTGCAGCCAGAGAGAAGAGAAAAATCAGTGTCGCTCAGATCATGGAGAAGCAGAAAGGAACAGGGAGGGACATGGACATCATAGAGAACAAGAAAGGAACAGGGAGGGGCGTGGCCAGCATAGAGAACAGGAAAAGTAAGGAAGGGGTGTGACTATCATAGAGAAGGGGAAAGGAACAGGAGAAGCGTGGCCATTATAGAGAACAGGAAAGGAACAGTGGGGCGTGGCCATCATAGAGAACAGGAAAGGGATAGGAAGGAGCACGGCCATCATAGAGACCCAATAGGAACAGGAAGGGGCATAGCCAGCATGGAGAATAGAAGAGTAACAGGAAGGCCCCTACCAGCATAGAGAACAAAAACGAAGGAGAACAGGAAATGAAAGGAAAGGGCAAGGCCAGTATAGAGAACCAAAAAGAACAGGAAGGGTGTGTCCAGCTAGAGGATGGTGCAAACAGGTCAAGAAGAAAGATACCAGAGACCTGGTGTTCACAGCTACTGCAAGACATTAGGGTCCCCTTGTTCTCTGATGGACAGCTAGTCTGATGAGCTCAGAGCCTGTCACAAAGGGAAACATGATGGCTCTCCCACCTCAACCATGAAGTCGGTAGGTCTAGTGACTTCACGTAGATGTCCACCCAGATACAGACGTTAGAATCCATCTGAGAAGGAACATGGGACTCTAATTCTACTCTATGAGTAGTCAGAAGTTTCCAGAGAAGCTGTACCGGCTTCTGAGGGAACTGAAGACTGACCTCAGGATGACCTCTGTGTGAACAGTCTGAAGCCTGTTACAGAATGTTCTGTACCTCTGTATTACATTCCTCCTTTTTCCTGGACTTTGGTGAAGTCCATCCAAGGCATCCACGCATGGCCGTCTCTTCTTAGATGTGTGCAATGTGTATGGGCACAAGGATTGCCAGAGAGCCACGGTGGCAATAACTGTGTGCTTCCCATCCAGAAAGTGAATCTGGGAGGAGGAGGCAAAATTCTGACGTCTAGTCTCTCCCCTGTGCCCACCTCAAGCCAGCTCTGTTCAGTTTTACTTAAGAAGGTGGGTTCTAGGGTCACAGAGATGACTCCATGGTTAAGAACACTGGCTGCTCTTCTAGAAGACCCCGATTCTGTTACCAGCTCCCACATAATGGCCTATGACATCTGTATGTCCAGTTCCAGGGGATCTGATGCCCTCTTGTGGTCTCTGCAGGCACTGCATGCATGTGGTATACAGACATATAAAGAGCAAACACCCATACACATACAATACAAATAAATCTTTTCTGTATGTTTGCATGGTTTTCAGAGACAAGGTGTTTCTATGTAACAGTCCTTGCTGTCCTGGCATTTGCTTTGTAGATTAGGCTGTCTTTAAACTCACAGAGATATACGTGCCTCTGCTTTCCCTGTGCTGGAATTAAAGGCGTGCCCCACCACTGCCCAGCCACAGTTTTTTTTTTAAGAAGGTGAGTTCCTTATTACAAGAATACATAGGCCCTCACTTAATAAACAGGAGCCCATTTAGGACTAGAACGTATGATAAAGTGTGTCCACCTGCAGAAATCTCAAGGTCCAAATCAGGAGCAGAAGGAGAGAGAGCACGAGCAAGGAACTCAGGACTGCGAGGGGTGCACCCACACACTGAGACAATGGGGATGTTCTATCGGGAACTCACCAAGGCCAGCTGGCCTGGGTCTGAAAAAGCATGGGATAAAACCGGACTCGCTGAACATAGCAGACAATGAGGACTACTAAGAACTCAAGAACAATGGCAATGGGTTTTTGATCCTACTGCACATACTGGTTTTGTGGGAGCCTAGGCAGTTTGGATGCTCACCTTACTAGACCTGGATGGAGGTGGGAGGTCCTTGGACTTCCCACAGGGCAGGGAACCCTGATTGCTCTTTGGGCTGACGAGGGAGGGGGACTTGATTGGGAGAGGGGAAGAGAAATGGGAGGCGGTGGCGGGGAAGAGACAGAAATCTTTAATAAAAAAATAAATTAAAAAAAAAAGAAAGTGTGTCCACCTGAAATGGGGTTACAGGGATTTGAGTTTTGGTCTGAGAGTATAGCTCAGTGTCCTAAGGGGGAAAAATCATATATACTCAACAGTACACAAATCCAGTTGACCTACAAAGGTGAGACCTCCTTGTTGGTACTGGTATACACTACTGCACTGGTAGGCTCAGTAGCACTGCTCAGCTGGAGTAGGTTTACATGAATTCATGCCTGCTCAGGGTGTTTCTGTGAAGGAGGGTGGGGCCTCTACAGGAAAGGAAAGCTGCTGCCCTAGGACTGCAGAGTAAATCTGCTGGGAAATTCCAGCTGCCTTGCTGCTGAGGAGGAAGTGGGGCCTCAAATAGGAAACCGAAAGTGAATAGAAGTTCTAGTCACCCCAAAGACTGGCCTGCAACCATGTTCCATTTTAGTGTTCTGAGTCATCTGTGTTGGGAGTCAATGAGAGGCATCAGCTGAGCCAACTGGGAGAAGAGGGGGCTGTGCACTGGGAGTCCTCGAGGGAGAAAGCTGAGCTGGGGTGAGAGCCCAGCCTTCACCTCAGCTGCCCAGGGCCTGCTGCGAAGGTTACACCTGGGACTGCACCCTCACAACCATACTTTCCCTTGATGTGTATGTCACTAAACTACCAGTATCTTAGAGATCTCCATTTTGTTGGTTTGAGGCTCTCAATAAACAACAGACATTTTTCAGACTTCAGCATATCCCGGTCACCTCAGAGGGCTGGTGGCAAATGCTTCCCCACTCACCCACATTCTCTGTACTAAAGTGTCTAGAATAGAGCTGGGGCTGGGTTTAGTTCCCCCACCCTCCCTGTGACCAGGATGCAGTAGTCTGTACCCCTAACCTGTGACCGGCATTTGAAGACAGCTCAAGAGAAGAATGCACTCCATAAGGGTTGTGTCTACTGGGGTAGTGACAGCTGGGATCAACCTGGGAAACCCTCTAATCCTCTGAGGTGGTTCTCAACCTGTGGGTCGCGACCCCTGTGAGAGTCAAAGGTCCTTTCTCAGAGGTAGCCTAAGACCATCAGAAACAGAGATATTTATATTACACTTCATAGCAGTAGCAGAAATACAGCTGTGAAGTAGCAATGAAAATAAGCTTATGTTGGGGTCTCCACAGTTTGTATTATAGGGTTGTAGCAGTAGGAAGGTCGAGAACCACACTGCTCTAGGGAAAGAGAAAATGAGAAAACAGGTTCTGCTGTCAGCTCTCTGTGGAGCCCACCCTGGTGAAATCCAACCCAGGACTATCAATAAGGTTCTTGCTTTGCAGAGGCATTCAGCGCCCTGCAGGTCTCTCCTGCCTCGTGACCTGGCTTTCTGAAAACGTGTGTCAATACCTTCTACACCTGTCTCTTTCTTTCATTTTTTCTTCTTGGCTCCTTGTTGGGCTGTTATCTAGTCTACAGCCTGGCTTCCTTGGCCTCCTTGCCCCTCAGGTGGGGCCTGATGGTAGTGGCACACTCCTTTAATCCCACCACTCTGGAGGCAGAGGCACGCAGATTCCTCCGAGTTCAAGGCCAGTCTGGTTTACAAGAGCAAGTTCCAGGACAGTCTCAAAAGCTACAGAGAAACTGCCTCCTAAAACAAAAACAAACAAACAAAAATATCTCAGGAGGGAACTAATGGTGGCCTTCCTGGAGCCACAGGTCTGGGCAGTCACCACCCTGAGCAAGCAAGGCTGGGTTTCCCTTGCAGATTGCAGACAGAAGTGGGGAGCATTCAACTGCTCAATGGTTCTGGAGCCTTCCTGCCATGAGGGAACCCTCCACTGGAACCCCTACCCCAGCTCAAAGCCCACAACCACTCCAGGCTACCCTGGGGGAGAAGGACAAAGAAGGACTTTGTCCAGGCTGTGGCACTAGAGCCCTGGGGCTTTTCCCTCCTCAAGCTCACCTCCCAAAGACATTGTCCCCCACCCCCCAACTAGTAGAACTCAGTAGCGCTAGCTGACCCAAGACTCTGCAAGATTCTTAATTCTTTAACTGCACCACTTGAATAATAAAAACATTTTTAAAAAGGAAGGAAAGGAAGAAAGAAGGAAAGAAAGAAGGAAGGAAGAAAAAGCAAAGCACGGGAAGGTTCACAGCACCAGGAAGCTCCTGGAAGAGCAAGGGAACTGCCACTCCTGGATGCGCTGGCCACTTCCGATTCTGACCCCAGGATCTCCCGCTCCCATCGCGCTGCTCAGAGTTCTGGGCCCCGCACCGGTGGCCTGAACCCCGCGCCGGGCGACCCTTTTCGACCTTTTAGCCTCTCACCGTCCTCCGGGGAAAAGAGCACCAGGAAGCTTGCCGGGTTCCCGGGCTGTGGGACGACCTCGCACTCCCCTCCGCCCGACTTCTTTCGGCTCTGGAAGTACATTTGCAACTTGTTGATTAAGGTCTTCGGGGGGTCTAGGCCCCAAGACCCCTCGACCATCAGCGGGAAGGGCCCGGACTCTGCCATCCTGTCAGGCCTGCGAAACCGCTATTGCTGGGTCGCCTAAAGCTGCGCAGAGTTTACTTTGAGTTAACTTCTCTTTCGGTTTCATTTCCTGGAAATTCCTCAGAGTCCTTACTTTCTATTTTCACCTAGCTGACCCCGAATTGGAATAAAGCATCACTCCCAAACTCCCACACACACCCAAGGACCCTAGGGCACTCCCAGTCTCCTCTTTATTTTCCAGCCCCCACAGAGGTGAGTCAATCCCCCTGAGCTGGCAGTCCCCAGGACTCTGGTCTCCAGTGTACCTTCACACTGGCTCCCTAGCGGGGCTCAGCCTGCACTTCACCCCAGCCACAGCTGAGCTTTGCTCCATCCCTAGGATAACTGCAGTATATCTGAAATCCACATTGTATGAGAGAAGAAAAGGGGCTCACAAATGGTCCTCTCCGGATACTCCCTGCTTTCTTGGGGACCACCCATCAGAATTTAACCTGCCTTTTTCCTGCTTCTGAAGTCTGTTTTCTCTTCCGTGAAAACTGTGTCTACAAACTCCCAATTTTGAGGAATGTGAGCTAAGCACCGATCATGTGTGCAACTAAGGGACACAGATGTGGGGACACGGGAGAGAAGACAGTAAACGGGTGTTGCCGGAGCCTAATTAAGGGAAAGACAGAAGAGCTTATGGGCAGGTGACATAGCACCTGAAGCCTAAGGGCTATTGAGAAAGGACCTTAGAGGATTGGGGGAGGGGAGACTCTGGGTGGTGACTCACAAGCCCAGAATCACTGGGGCTGCTGCATGGTGCTGGAGTGGACTCAGGAGAAAGAAGGCTGCCGACCTGCACACTCCAGAGAGGCCTGGAGGAAACGTGGGCTCTAAGCTGCCACTGAAGGCAGCATTTGCTGACGGATATGAAAAGTTCGGTCTGGAGTGGGGCAAGAGACTGGATCCTAGAGCAGGAGTGAAGAGGGCTGACTGGGACAGGGGTGAGAAGAGCTGGGAACTGTGTTTCCTCAACATGCAATGAGCGGATGTGTGAGACAGTTAGAGGCTTTGCCACTCCAGGGTTAGGGTGGGCTGGCCCTCTGTGGGCCCGGAAGCCCAGTCTGATGAAAACAGAGAGGGCAGGGAGTCTGGGGAGGCCTGAAGTCTGACAGAAGGAGGAAGTAGAAGCTGCAAACCTAGCCAGACCTTCCCAGAAGGTGACTGAACAGGAAGATGGGGAGTCAGGCTGTGGTGGGGGTGGGAGTTTGGGCTCAGAAAGTCTTTATGTTTGTTTCTTGGATTTAAATATTTTTTTTCCTCCTCGGTTTTTTTTTATTTTGAAAAATATCAAACCTACAGAAAATCTACAAGAACAGAAATGAAGACCTGTAGACCTTTCACCAGAAGCACTTGTTTTCAATAATCTGATGTGTTTACTTATTTTAAATACATTTTTATTTTTTTATTTTATTTTGGTTTTTCGAGATAGGGTTTCTCTGTAGCTTTGGAGCCTGTCCTGGAACTATCTCTTGTAGACCAGGCTGCCCTCAAACTCATTGAGATCTGTCTGCCTCTGCCTCCCAAGTCCCGGGATTAAAGGCGAATTTTATTTTTCTTTACAGCTGAAATTTCTCCTGTACATATGCTCCACATGTTCTCTCTCCATTAGCTGAAACTTAAAAAATTATTTTACGTGTATGGGTGATTTTCCTGGATGTATGACTGTGTGGCATGAGAATGATGGAGACCTAAGAATCCAAGCTGCCCCAGATATAATCACAAATCCAGCTGGGCTAGACAGTCACTTAAGAACCACCCCCAACAAGGTAGATTTACCCAGGAAATTATGTCTGAGTCTCTTTAGCAAACTTCTGAATTTTTTATCCCTCTCACTTTTAGGGAGGTAATTGTATCTGGATCTATTTGGAATATTTGTATACCCTGACTTTTAGGGAGATAATTTTATCTGGCTCTATTTGGAATATCTGTATACCCTGGAGATTTTGATAACCCCAAAGATGCCAGAAACTTTCTTCATAAGGCCATGACGTCAGGATCTTCTTGGTGTATCTGCCCCTGAGCAAACTCAAACAGGGTAATTAACACAATGTAAACCTAAAGATGACTGACAAGCTCCAACTAACTGGGATGTTTGGTAACAGATCAGAGGCCTCCTCTTACTCACTTGGCTACCTAGACAGTTGCTCCTTTAGGGTCCTCCATGGTCACTGAGGGCAGGGGTTTCAGAATAGTTTTTGTCTTCTGCTGTTAGTGCAGGCCTGCCAGGCTTCAGAAGATCCTGTGAGGTTAAAAATTTGTAGGAAGACTAGCCTACCTTTCATAGGCAGCCAGGGAGTCGATTCCAGTTTTCCTCCCTCTACTGTCTGGAGATCTTCAGGAGTTTAGATGAAAGGCAGTTTTTCCCAGTGGTTAGTGCCTTCACATGAAGTGAATTATGAATGGATGTAGTCCTGTGCCCATCTGTCTTCTGCATTCTGCCTTTTTTGGAGGAAATGGAGTGGGGCTGCCAGGATCCAACCTGTCTCTCTGTTATGAAAAGCCTTTTAATAATTAAACATTTAAATGCTATATTCCCCAGATATTTGAGCATTCGAGGGCTTTTATTAAGTACATATAAGTTATAACTACAGTATACAATCTGCCTGCAGAGCTGGATCCAAGCTGAGAGGTTGTGGAGGAATGTTTTATCCAGAGTCCTCCAGCTTGACTGTACTGGTTTTAACTTAAGAGGTGAGATTTATACTTGTGAAGGACAAAGAAGAAAAAATGTTTGCAATAGAAGCTTAACAATAAAGCTGACAATAGTGCAGAACATCTTTTGTTAATCTGAAATAGATCTTTATAACCTTAAATTTTTATCATTGTATAGAATCATTTTAAAGCAGAATTGAATCACATATGCAGTATGTAGTAGCGTATTTAACCACATATTTATCATCATTTAAACGTACATACCAATTTAAAATATTGAGGATTATTGCTTCCTTAGTCTGGAAGGAGATACAATGCAGAGAGCTCATTAGGGCTGCTTAAAACTTTTTTTAACAGTAAGTCCATGTATATATACATGCAGTAATTTAAGTTACACGTAAAGTTAAATGAGAAGTGAGCAAGAGAAAGATGGCCTTTTTTAAAAAAAATTACTGACTGATACTTTGCAACAAGGAGGAAGGGCATTGAGAGAGAGAGAGAGAGAGAGAGAGAGAGAGAGAGAGAGAGAGAGAGATGAAAGTAGGGAATTAAAGTTGCAGATTTTAGCAGGTGGGAGAGAACAGATGTGGTGCAGAGGTGGTCTTTGCATGTAACGGACGCCTCAGAGGGCCCTGCGAAAGTGTACCATCACACAACCACACCACATGCAACAGAGTCAACATAAAAGTATTTTTTCAAAGCATAGCTAATAGCTTAAAGATAGCTGGTGAGTCATGTGGGGGTAGCCTGCTGCTGGCCCTGACTGGTTTTGGGCGGAGCCTGACGTATCTGTGGCTCCTCCCTGTCTTACCCTCAAACAAAATGGCAGTGGTTGCCCCTAACAAAGATCGTGCAAAGCAAGAATGTGGTGCAAAGCAAGAATGGCGGGGATTTTTGAAGAGACAGAAATAACAAGAGAGATATATAGGACGCTTAAAACATACATTTAAACAGACTCAAATCAGTACGGCCACACGTCATTCACACATTCTTTCATGCAAGAAGTGCACAGGAAACTTTTTAGCGCGGTCAGCTGCAGTTTTGTGAGAAGAGGTACAGACCCCCCTCAACCCCCCCACGGGACGGCTGGGAGAGTCTGAGGGGTTAGAATAGGTGGTAGAAGCTCCAGGTGCTGGCACGCAGGAGGGCGGGTTGTGGTGGTGCTGACGGAGGTGCCTCAACTGTAGTCTCAGTGGCACAGTGCTAAGTCAGGCCTAGAGTGAGCTGCTGGCACCATGAAACTGCCCTGCCTCTGAGGAGACATCGGGGACCAGATGTGCAGTGGTGGTGGTGCCTAGGCTGAAAAGTCACCCGGGTGGGACGACCTGAGCAGTGGCAGGGTGACCAGGACTGAAAATAGGTTTGCTGGCTCCCGCAGAACCCGCAGCGGCAGTGGAGGCAAAGGCAGGGCTCTGCAAATGGATAAGACAAACAGAAGAAAGACAGATTCTGCCACAGACAGGCTTAGCCACTGTGGGAGGCAGCCAGGCAGAGGGAAGTGGCCAGTTTCTTAGGGGTACTTGGGCCATTTCTTAGTGCAAAGGCAGATAAGCCTAGGAGTCTGTAAGTAAGGCATTATGAAGCTTAGAGGTTTTAGTGTCTCTAAAAGATATCCAGGGGGAGGTGGGACTGATAGCACTGGAAGGTTTATTTTCCATAGCTCAGGATGGGGGAGAGAGAAAGGAGACCCAATGGCTACCTTGTCTACAAGCGTCTTGAAACAGAGCGAGGGTTCCAGTGATTGGTTCAGGCCATCTGACAGGTGCCAGGAAGCCTGGGTCACATGGTTTTTATGCCCCACTTTGACTTTGGTTTGTGAGTCTGTGTCTGCCTACTCAGCCAGGGCAGTGTGGTATTTAGATGAACTTTTGTCTCCACCTGACTAAGCGGCAGAACTGAGTGGCCAGCACCTGATAAGCCTGGGATTGACAACCTGGAGGATATACTTAGGTGTCGTAAGTGCAGCCTTATTTCCCCTAATATGTGGGCCCTGAACTTCCCTTCTGGCCCTCTATGAAGGGCTACTCAGAAAACACCAGAAATGGCTACAAACAAATTCCCAGCATCACTGAACACAAATGATGAATGGACCGGAGAGAAATAGTCTGTGTTTGAAGGGGTGGATACTTGTCAGCTGGGAAGCTATGCAGGGGCTGAGCAGTTCCCTCTTGGCCCATCATGTCCTTGCTAAAGGCTAACCTCTGGGTGCACTGTTGTATATGGGGAGTCAGCAGGGAGTCCTGTATCAGTTTCTCTGCCCTTTTGCAGGTAAGAGTTTGGGAGCTGAAATGGGATGCGATAGAACATTACTTTAAATTGCTGCT